GGCAGGGGATGCGCGGTGCTCGCGCAACAAGACGACGGGGTAGTTCAACCCGGCGGTGGAGTGGAGGGATTCGTGGCGTCGATGCGGCGCCCTGTCTGGCGCGGCGGCGCGGCCTGGCCTGGCGTCGCGCACGTGATGGCTGCACGGTTTATGACGCGGAACTGTGACGAGTATCTCCTCTTTATGGACCAGCCGCGCCGTGCCGCCGTGCCGCCATGGACGCCGCGACGCCGCGGGCATTGTTTCAACCGTCCGTCGTCCTTCTCCGTAGCGACGGGCACGTCGGCCGAACGGTGTGCGCCCGCGGGGGATGGTCTGTCTGGGGCTGGGGCTGCTTGGGCTGCAGGGGCTACTCCTTGGGCTGGGGGCTGCTGGCTGACGGGGCAGGCGGGGCCGGCGGGCCGCCAAAGGTCGAAGGCACGCCCATTGCTTCATTGCTTATTCCCCGTGCCGCTCCGGGCCGTGGCCGGAGCACCGCTCTGCCCGGCGGTGGCGCCGATCCGCTCGGGTACAGTGCAGGATACGCCCGGGCCGCCCCGGAGGTACCCCCCGCACACCGCAAGGATTTGCCCCGGTGAAAGGGGGCTCCGCGAGGAGGGAGGGGGTCTCAGATTGGAGGGGGAGTGGAAGGAGGTGGTCTCGTTACATGTGGAATAGCTGGGGCCTTAATCTAGCTCTAGGGAGCCGCAGACTCAAACCCGCCCACCCAGCCTATACCGCGCTGGGCGGGCTGCGCCGGCTGCGCGGGGAAGGGGGTTAAGTCCAGAGCACGCGCGTGCTGTTTGCTGAGAGTCAACATGAGGAGCCCTCCGCCTTCGCGGGGCCGCCACTGCCCCGCCTCCTCGCCGTTCCGGCCTCTGCGACGCTACCTGCCCCTCGCCAATTTCCTCTGGCTTTGGCCGTGCTTTGGCCGTGCTTTGGCCGTGCCTGGTTGGTTCGACCAACACCGCCACCACGGGGCACTTGGCGGCGTGCTCTCTGTGCCGAAAGTTTGCAACGGACGCGGCTGCTGAATGCTATGCCGGTCGCGGCCCCCTCGCGCCAGTAGTTTGGAGTTGCACGGTTCCGGTCAGGCGTTCCGGGTTCCGGGCTGGGGTTCCGGCCGCGCCTTTTTACAGAGCAGGCGGCCTTGGCGCCAGTCACCGCCCACCCTGCGACGCCCTGCTCAATGTGAACCCCCTCAGGAAGGCCAACAAACTTTTCCCTTTTCCGCGAAATTATTTGGTTCGGCAGATGTGGCGGCCACGCGCCTCCGGGTTCTCACAGTGATGGCCAGTCATGACCGCCCGCCCCCGCCACCCCAACCCGGCCATCCCGACCCGCCTGTGGCGCCTTTCTCCGAAGCTTTCTGCTTTTGGGAGTCACAGCGAGCGAGCCGCGTTTTGAGCAAGCCGATTTCGAATCGCTGCGAGGCCCATTTTTGCCGTGCCCGTGGAAACACTCACCGCGTCGTTTGCGGTGAGGTAGCGGCGCGCCGCGTGTGTAAAATCGGCGAGTTACGACTCCCCGCGTCGCCGCGAAACGCCGCCGAACCACCGCCGAAACGCCGTCGAGGCGAAGCAGTGCCTGGCGGTGTACGGTGCGCGCAACGGCCGCGCAATGAAGGGATAATGCAGGTGCGGGAATAAAGTATGAAGGGCGATGCTGGCGAGGCGGGCGAGGCGGACGAGACGGCGGGGAGGAGCAGGGGACGAAAACGGAAAGGGGCAGCAAGGCTAAGAGGACTCAAAATAGGTCTTTTATCCCTCTCGGAATAAAAGCCAGCAGCGAGCAAAAAAACTGCGAAACGCAAAGGCGCGCCGAGGCCGAGTCGACTGCTGGTCCGGGACGCGGGGACTGGGACGTCGTCGCGCCGCTGCTACCCCCGAGGGGCTCGGCAGACTCTGCCATGCTTCGCCAGCGCGGACACTCCCTCGCGCCCTCGCCTCGCGCCACAGTGTAGGCAAGGCCCACTCACCCCGCGCCGCCCAATGCCGGAACCACTAGCGCTCGCTGCGCGTTGCACTCATCGCCGCTTGAAACATTGCCGAGCGCTGAGCGCGGTGCGGGGGAGAGGCTCGGTGGCATGGATCCGCGTGGATCCCGTCCCGGGGGAAGTTTGCTGATGCGGCGCCGCCGCGCCGACGTCCTCAGCCATGCATGTCGGCGGGGTGGTGTGCGGTGCAGTTGTCTGTCATTTGCCACTCCGTCTCTCTCGCACCCTTGCGGTGCGCCCCGTGAGCGCGAGAGAGACGGAGCGGCGAAAGCACTGTTCGCGTTCCGCGCGCCGGTTGGCAGTGCCCCGTCCCTGACGTCGCCGAATTCACGTCGCCCCGGGACATACTTCGCCGTCCCGACCCGTCCGGCCGATGAATTTCTTACGTCCGGCCTCCATCTCGACTGGCTCACGTGTGTGGCGCTGCTCAATAAGTGAGCCGCGTGACGTCATCAGGATAATGGTCTGAGCGTCGTGCTGCAGGCGGGCCCGGGCCTATTCCCATTCCACCCCCTGCTCCTCCTGGCTCAGGCCTCGCCTTATCCCCGAATCCTGCCGTCCCGTCCCGCCATGCTGCCGCGCTGCTCCACCTTGAACAAACTTTGCCGGGCCGGGCCCTCGGCCGGGCCGCATTCCATCCGGTTATTGTGATATCAAGTCGCCAGCCCTCCTGCCTCGCCCGCCTCGGCAGCGCGCGCCCTCCGCCGCCACGGCCTCCACCACCTCCTCGCCGTGATCCGACGAGGAATTCCGCCCCTTTGTTGTTTGATGAAGCGCGCGGATCTGCGCGGTGTCCCAGCTCGTCGTGTTGGCTGGCTGGCTTGTCTCGATCCCCCGCGGCCCGTGTGTCGCTCACAGCACGGCAGTGGGTCGGCGGCAGTGGCGGCGAATTATTAATTGACTCGCGCTGTCGAGCGCGTCCATCGGCCGGTCTGGCCGGCATCGGCCCTCTCGGCGCCACGCGAGGACAAGGCGGGGCCGTCTGTTGTCCGCGCCGAGTCCAGACGAGTGCGCCTGGAGATAAGGCCGTATCGCCGCGCCCGATGGAAAGGAAGGACGCCGAGGACGCCGTCGACCTTGTTAACGGGGAGGATGGCGTTAGGCCCCTCCGAATGGGGCGATCATTTGTCGAGGCTAGGCTCCGTCAAAGGCCTTTCAGCACTTTGAGACAGGCCGCGGAAGTCGTCGGCTGTCTCCCTCGCGCTCCTGGGGTGTTCCTGAGGGATGCGAGAGAGACAGAGCGACACTCGGCCGGGCTTTTGCGGTACGAATCAGGGTGAGTCTGGGCCCTGGCCACCCTGGCACGGCGACGCGGTCTGACAGGCAGGCGGCGGGCAGACAGGCGGGACGAGACGGGGCCTCTCGGGGACTGGGCGGCGGGGCGGCGGGGTGGCGTCCGCAGTGTAACCATGCCGGACGAGGCTTGACTGCTGGATGATTCCGGACAGCCCCCTACCCCCAACTCCAAACACCAATCCCAACCCCTCGGTCCATTCCAGCGAAACCCCTTCTGGCCTGGCCCTTTCCGCCTCCAGGAAACCGGCGACACGCGTTTCCGTGCAGATGATGACAAGCGGCGCGCCCCCCACTCACCCCAACCCACCCCGCCGCCAGGGTGCGTCTGTTTGTGTACCAGTCTGGCGCGCCGGTTCATGACTGCCGCGGCTTGTGGTGGCTTGCGTGGCTTGCGGCGTCGGTGGCTCCCGGACTGCGGCACGGCGGTGGCGAAGTGGCGCGGCGAAGTGGCGGCGGAGTGGCGGCGGCGAGACCGCCCCGCCTCTGGGGCCTCTGGTGCCTCTGGCCGGCAAGCGGGAGAGTTATTTGCCTTTTGCTTGAGCGGTTGCGTCGGTCGCGTCGGTCGCGTCCGCGGGGCTCGCCGCGGCACGGCACGCCAAAGGCAGCCACAGGCAGCCGCGGGCAGGCAAAGGCACCAGGCCGGATAAGATGAGAGGGACGGGCGCGCGGAAAGTTGGCAGCTCGATCAAAGGGGGCTCGACTCTTCTCGACTTTCCAGCTCAGGTCTCTGCCGCTCCCGCTGCTCCCTGCCGCCTTCGTGGAGGCCGAGGACGAGGGGCGTGCGACGCGGCGCGCTTCATGAAAGCAAACTCCCCCTCCCCCTGCCCCGCCCGCGGAGAACTCCTGACCGCTCTTAAGGGCTGCCGCCGCGGCAGGCCCGCCGAACCGATCTGGGTGGAGGCCCACAACTCCGGGTGCGCTGCGCCGCTGCGCCTTGTCGGGACTCGAGGGCCATCGAGGCCTACCGCGCCGCCGAGACGTGGGCCAAATGAAGGCCTTTATAACCATTGAAAGTGCCGAGGGTGGGGTGAGAGTTCCGCGGCGGGGCGGCCTGGCGGCCACGCCCGGCTACGTCCTCTAGCCTCGCCTCTGGGTCTGCATCCGCCGCATCCGCTGCAGCAGGGGAAGCCTTGCGCCGGAAGTCGGCAGCAGCGCGAGGGTGGATTTTGACACCGTCCTGGAGGCCCTGCGCGTCGCCAGCTCAGCCTTCCCCGCGCCGTCTCGTCACATGGTGGAGGGCGAGGGCGCAAGCGGCGACGCGACGGCGACGCCAGGTGGTGTCTTTACCATGGCTGCGCCGGGCTGCGCCGGCCGGCACCCTCGCCGCGCAGCACTGCGCTCCACGACCCGGGTTAATGATCGGAGTTGGATTAAGTTTGAGCTGTTAAGGCGCGATGATGATGCCGCCTGGAGTAACTCGGCCCGGAGAGGCTCCTCGGCGGGCACCATCATCTTATTCCTTCCGGCCCCGGCAGCCCGGCAGCCCCGGCCTCGCCAAATCCCCAGGTGACCCAGGCGAGGGGCCGGGCCGGCCGGGCGGTGCTCAGGGCTTTGCCGCCGTGGCGGGTTCCAAGCGCCCATCGTGACGCTAGTGCCCTGCGCGGCGTCGACGGCGAATGCAGACTTTCCAGAGCCGCGCTGCCGCGCCTAGTGCCGCCGTAGTGCCGCCGTAGTGCCTGTATGGCGCGACCCACACTGTGCCGTACTCACTCGCCCACTTTTGTTGCAGGTGCTCGGGCTGCAGAGCGAGTGGCAGGTCGCCAAGAGGTCCTTGAAGAAGGGCGCCAGCGAGGTGAGTTGCATCGAGGGAGAGGGGTGGGGCCCACCGTGGGGGCGGCGAGGGTTTGCTGCAAAGAGGATTGAATAGGTGGGAGCGGTGGACTGAAAGCAGGGGAGAGACGACGTCTCGAGAGAGACAGAGCCGGGAAGATGATATCAAAAAATGTCCAGCCCGCGCTGGGGACCAAGGACCGAGGGCCGAGGGAGGGCGGGCCGGTGTGGCGCGGAGAAGCTACCCCCTTGGCTACCCCCGCCAGCCCGGCCAGCCCCCAGCGCGCCGCCGCATCAGTCAAGATAACCCATTCATTCCCCCGCCCCATTCCCCATTCTTGCCCTTGTCCACGTCGAGAGTCCAATTCCAGGGGCCGTCGGGCCGGCCGGCCACAAAGGCGCCGTGCTGCCCCGCCGCGCCCCGCCACGCCCCGCCACGCCCCGCCACACCGCGCCTCGCGACGTAAAAGTTTGAAACGCGCGGGGCTGGGGCTGCGGGGGTTTCGGGAGCTGCAGGGGGGGGGGCACACAATACGCCGCCAGGCCATGGCCGGCGGCCGCGGCCGTTCGCTCTCATCGCCGTCGTCCTCATCACGCGGATCATTTTGCCCGAAAGATCCACTGTTTTAGCGTCCCGCCGCACGGGCGCTCATCATCCTTGCAACTCGAAAAAAAAAATTTAAATGAGGCTGAAACAATTTTTTTGTTGGCTGATGCGTGGTGGTGGTGGAAGTGAACGCGCCGGGGGTAGTAGCTAGCCTGCTAGCTCGGGGCCCGCTGCGACCGCTTTAAGATAACGGGCAACTCGTGGGGGCGTTTCAATTACCTCGTCGGAGCCGAGCGGCTTGCCGGGCGGCACAGCGGCCGAGCCGAGCCGAGCCGAGCCGAGCCGGGACCGTAGTGCACAAAAAGGGGGCAGGATGGGGGATGAGCGGCGCTCTACTGCTGCTGCACTTGATTGCGTGCGGGTTGCGGTGCCGCCATGGTGCTGCGGAGCTGCGGTGCGCTGTATGGACCAGCGCGCTGATGGCGATCGCTGCTGTGTGGCCGCGCGGTCGCAACTATCATACAGCCCCGCCGGCACCCCCCACCCCCTCCCGCCGCGCGCCCGGGGGGCTCTGACGGTCCGCTTGCTTGCTCTCGGGCTGGCTGAGCTGAACGAGGCGAGCTTTTGTGGAGGCGAACAGCAGCCAGCAGCACTGCCACTGCTCCCATTATGCGCAACGCCCCCGCCCCTTCGAGACGGGATGGGGGATAAGAAGATGTAGGGGCAGCTCCCTGCGGAGGAGGGGAGGGGAAGGGGTGGCGGCAGCGAGGCAGCAGCCCGCCCCGCCCCGCGCCCCGCGCTTGGCCAAGCCGAACATAGACTTTGGGCTGTACAGTCTACCGCCGTGCTGACGGGCCCGTCTCGTCGTCTCGTCCCTTTGGCCTGCTGCACGTCCCGGCCGTGGACGTGATGGCCATGTCCGTGTCCGGCGCGATGCCTGATTGGGTTAGGGTTGGGGGACGGCCAGGGACAGCTCGGCCAGCACGGCGACGGCCTCCCTTCTTTCCCCGTCTGCAGGCCGTCTCCGAACAGCGCGCGTCCGCCGCGTCCGCGTGACGAGGGTGGCGTCGAATTTCGCCCTGGCGTCGGCGCGGCACTCCCAAGCCGCCGTGCCCGGCCGTGCCCGAGGGGTGCAGGCAGCCTAAGGCTCCGAAGGCAGTGCGCTGTATTAAAATGGGGCGCATAATTAAGCCGTTTGACGGCTTCCTCTACCGCCGCGGCGCCGAGAGGGAGGGGGAGATGAAGGGAGAAGGACGCAAGGAGGGCCCTGCGAAAGCGAGAGGGACTCTGTTTCAATATTCAGGTGTATCCAGGCGAAACACGCCGCGCGCCCACCCGCAACACACTGCCGCCATGCCGCCGCGCCGCCGGGCCGCCACCGCCTCAACTCTCGGAACGTAATTAGATAAAGTTGCGCCCCAAGGAGCTGTTGGCGAGTTTCTCACGCAAAAGAGAGGCGGCCCGCGCTCTCGCAGCTCTTGCCCTTTGTTGGCCTAAGCTGTTTCCGAAAAGGACCCCGCCGGCCTGGGGGCACTTCCTGACTGCGAGTGCAGTGGGAGGGGGAGGCTCGCGTCGTGCTGGAGTGCCTGCCGGCCCCGGCGCCGTGCTGTCGAAGTCGAAAGTATCAATGCCCCTCGCGCGGCGCGGCGTGGCGCGGCACGTGAGGGAAGGGGACGCGTCGAATAGATATGCCCACTTTGTCGCGCGGCGCGCGGCCGTCCCCTCCAAGCAGCCCCACTGGCACTCCGAGCCACTCGCCTTCAGCGCCGCGTGAAAACAATCGAAGGGGGGGGTGAATAAATAAATCGAAGGCCTTTCCCGTTCGGAGACTGTGACTGACGCCGTGTCTTCTTCTCCTTCCCGCAGACCCTGCCGCAGGCCGACGACGAGCAGAACAACGCGCTGCCCGCCATGGCGCCCACAGTGCAGGCGCCCCTGCAGCACGATGCCCCGCTGCGCCACCACCACCTCATCAAGGCCCAGATCCAGCAGCTGGGCGCCGAGACGCGCTCGCTGCGCGACAGCCACCTGCAGCTGCGCAAGCAGATGCGCCGCCTGGAGAAGCAGGTGCACCTGGCCACGCTGCGGCCCGTGCGCCTCGAGAGGGTGGCCGACGACGCCCAGGCCGACGCCCAGGCCGACGCCGCCACCGAGGTCACGGCGCCGGAGGTGCTGCAACGCCTCGCCGCCCTGGAGAACACGACGCGGTGAGTTGACCTGACCCCTCCTTCCCCCTCCCCCTTTCCACTTGTTCGTGGCTCGCTTCCTTTCATAGCTGTCGTCACGACTGTTTCCGGAGACACAAAAGCGCGTCGAGTCCGCTGCCGTCGCGGCGCCGCTGTCGCCACGTTGTGCGTCGCGGCGTCTTGTCCGGAACCCGCAACCCACGCGGGGTAGGGAAGTGCCCAAAGCACCTGACCGCCCGGCCTCGGCCCGACAGCGCCAAGCCGCCAGACTAGCGCAACCTCCCTGCGCTCGAAAATAAAACGAACGCGGGGGAAGCGCGTCGCCAAACAGCTCATCTCATCGGGGTGCCGTCTGTGTCCGCAGGTCGCTGTCGCAGTCCGTGTGGAACGCCACGCGCCACGTCGCCGGGCTGGCGGCGCTGCGCGGCTCCACGCTGCAGCTGCTCGAGTCCCTGGAGGCGCTGGAGACCAAGGTGGACGCCAACGTGCCCGCCGTGCAGCGCGAGATCTCCCGCCTCGAGTTCTCGCTGGCGCAGGTGCGCGCCGTGGCGCACGAGAACAAGGAGGACCAGCAGAACCAGGGCGCCTCCCTCAAGGCCATGGCGGCCAGCCTGTCCACGCTGCAGGAGCGCACGGCCGCGGACCACGCCCTGCTCGGCGTGCTGGAGCAGCAGATGGTGAACGCGACCGAGCGCCAGGACGCCCTGGACCAGGCCGTCAGCCACCACGCTCCGCCGCACCACGCCGCCCGCCAGGGCCTGGACAACGAGGCCCCGCTGGACCAGGTCGCCGACGACGCGTCCGTACCCCACCTGGTGGACGAGCTGAGCCACGTGCAGGCCGAGTACGAGGACATCGTGCACAAGCTGCCCAAAGGTGAGTCCTGCGCGTTGCCGCACTGCCGCGTGTTTGTCGCGATCCTCGGACGGGCTGAGCGCTGAGCCCGGCCTCGGCGTCCCTATCTCAATCCCAAGCGGTGCAGTGGCCGCCCCGTCCCGCCCTCGCTAGCGGTGCTGGCCTGCCTGCGCCAGGGGAGATAGCACTCCGAATGAGGAGGGACTGCCGAACCGAAGCTTTACCTGCCCGTCCGTCACCCAGCCCACCGTCCGCGTTACGTCGCTTCGCTGGGCTCCGACCACTCCGCCCGCCCCGCGGCCCTGCACTCGAAACAGATAAAGGACGTCGCGAGTTGATTCAACGCCACGGAGGGGAGGACGAGAGGGAGAGAGCTCGCGCCTGAAGGGTGGCCCATCCCTCGGGTCCTCAGGTCCACACCGGTCCACACGGCGCCGCGCCGTGCCTGTGCTTGGCCACGGGGCGCCGCAGGGCTGCAAAACGCCCTCGCTGGCCGGCCCACGGACGACCACGGACCACCCGTCCAAGCAGCTTCCAGCTCCCAGCTCCCAGCTTCCCCGCGCAGATTGCTTCAAAGACCCGTTTTCGCGCTCTCCGTGCGGAACGCTCTGCTCCGCTCCGCTCCGTCTCTCGTGCCGTTTCGTTCGTTCCTCGGCCGTTCGGCCGCCGAATAGACGCGCTGATTGGGTGGCGCGGCGTGGCGGGGCTGCGGGGCGGGGCGGGGTAGTCTGGGCTGGACCCGCTGGACCATTGAACCGCGAAATCCCATAGCCCAGCCCCAGCCCCAGCCCCTGCCCGCCCCCACACGGGGACGGCATTACTCCACATAAGTACACAGCGCCGCGACGTCGACGGCCAGGGCGAGGTCTGCCGGACTGCCGGCTTCGCTTTTCCCTTATTAGACGAAAGTCCACCGCGGCATGAAGCTCCCCCTCCCTCTTTTTCCAACATACGCGCGCACACATGCAGGGCCCCAGACTTGTTGCGTAGGCAGCACGTGTTCGGCATATCGGCGCCCAGCGCGGCCGGCGGCCCTTGAAAATGGGGAATGGGTGGGGAAGGGAGAGGGAAAGGGTTCCGCTCCTCGGAGCACGCCGCCAAGCCGCCACGCCGCCACGCCGCGGGGACGCGTTTCCTGGACGGCGGCGCGGCGACGGCGTCCCCCTTCCCCCGGCCCTCCACGGCCACTACTCCGGTGCGCGGCGCCGCGGCACGCCCCCGGAGGCGGTGGCGGCGGCCGGAAGGGAGGCTGACCGGAAGTGGCGAGTTGCGGGTGTGGGCAGTGTGGGCGACAAGCCGCGCATTAATGGGACTGGCCGACGAGCAGGAGTGCCGCTAGTGCTTCCAAGGAGACACCCCATCCACCTCCACCGCCGGTGTGGTCAGGTGACCGTGTCGCGTTTCCGAGTGGCGGTCAGCGTACGTTTACCCCCGGGGGCTTCACCGCTTTGCTCGGCTTTGCTCGACTTTGCTTCGCCGCCGTGGCCGCGTCTGCAGGCAAACTCTCGGGCACGCCGCAGCAGCGATGCAGCGAAGCAGCGATGCAGCCCCTCCCTTGTTGGTCGTCAGATTAATGGGCCAAATTTCCGCGAGCTGCTCACGCCCCTGCTGGCCGCGCGGTGGCGTGGCGTGGCGCGCACTTGGCACAAATGGACGCAGGCCGAACCGGAACCCCGGCAGCGCCAACAACCCCGCGCGCCACGCCGGCGGCCTGTCCCGCTGACTTAGCATCTCTATTGCAGGGCTGGGACAGATACTTTATATTTTTACCTAGGTACAGATACAGATACTGGATCAAAAAAGTACCTAGGTACAGTTACAGGTACTTGATCGAGCTCAGTACCTAGGTACAGTTACAGGTACTTTGGCAAAATACCTAGGTACTTTTCAGGTACTTTCAGATATTTTGATATTTCAACACATCCGCCCAGTAACGCAACCAAAACAAACCTCGCGCGACTTTTTCGTCCCTTTAAACTTTCTTGCGTCAATGACCCTTTTCATGCCAACGTGTGTGCTGTTTACAACCCCGATTCGTCACGCCGCATCGTCGGCGGCTCCAGGGACCATCCTTGACCTCGCTCCTATAATGGGATGGTTCCGGTAACGCATTTTAGGGATAAACCCTATGATAAGCGACGTGTTAGCCGTCGGCCGCTCCCCCGCCCCTCCCCGCCCCCCCGTCGCGCTCCTCCCTTTAGACCGGAATATGCTTCGGCGTTGGTCGTGGTGGGGGTAGAGTTGAGACCCGGAAACAGCGAGGGTGCGGGGTGAGGAGGGGCTAGGGGTGGGGGAGGGCGGCCGCTTGCCGCCTTAGCGCGTTTCCCCCACCCGATTTCCGGTGCCAGGCTCCCTCGACGGCCAGCCGTGCGTCCCGTAAGGCTCATGCAGGAGCCCCGCTCTAAAGGGAGGCGCGCGACGGGGGGGCGGGGAGGGGCGGGGGAGCGCCCGACCCCTACCACCTCACTTCCTATGATCCCTGCTGAGATGTGTCCATTGTTTCATAGTGCAAGTCCTCTGCGTTCACCTTGGCAGTGCGTGCGGTGACCAGACCTGCCACATGGAGCCCGGAGAAGGCACATAAAAAGGGGAGGGGGCCGAATATCTGTTTCTTCCCCGAAAACAGGCAGTCCTCTGAGTGTCTCTCTTTATCCCCGCACTGTTGTGAGCGCATCTCATTACCCGTCTTTCCCTACATTCGCGCCCAAAAGTACCTGTAAAAGTACCTGCAGTTCTAGGTAAAGTTACTGCCCAAAATGTACCTAGGTACAGGTACAGTTACAATTGTGACTTGAGTACCTAGGTACAGTTATAGGTACCAAAAAAGTACCTAGGTACAGTACCTAGGTACTTTTTACCTAGGTATTTCCCAGCCCTGCTCTATTGTTCTAGATTCAATATGACGGCGGGGCGCGGCCCGGCCGTCCCGCCCTCCGACCTCGTAGCGCCCCGCCCCGCCCCGCCCCGCCCCGCCCCGCCCCGCCCCAGCAACCCCCTACGGCCGCTCTGCCTCGCCGTATCACATATCGCCCACTCGCCACGCGAGCAGGGAACGCCTCGCCTCGGGGAGCGCGGCGCGGCCGTCGCAGGGAGGGTGATTATCACCGTAGGTTGTCACTCGCGTTCCCCAGGGTAGTGCTTCTAAACTAGACCACATAGGATGTTGAAATTTGTTTTGAGCTCGCCCCTTGGGGTCCTTTACCACCCCCAATCTTGAGTTTTGAGCTGTCACTTCTGAATCGGCCGTAATAATATCGAGAAGTGGTCAAAAGTGAACTCCGTCCACTTCCCCCGCACCAAGTCGATTTCGAAAAGAGGTGTTTAAAAACCTTCTGCGAGATGAAAGCAGACTTTCTTGTGACCAACATTTTAAAAAAAGTATGTGGGGTCACATCATCGGCCACGGTGACTTTCTGAAAGCAACAGGTGTGAAACAGCACGTCATCAAAATTGTTCCCCCAGTTTTCATGTGAACTCCGTCCACAGTGCTTAATTTGGGATGAAAATCGCAAAAATAGCTTTAGTAATGCGACCCGAGTCAGGAATTGTGCATCTTTCTGTTCTGCATCCACCACCATCAAAATCAGCTGGCTGGTGTTGCGGGAAGGGAATCCAAGTGGAATTTAGTCTTCGATTCCGCTGCGTATGTTTTTTAAAACGAACTCCGTCCACCCCCTTTTCTCGAAAACCAATGTTCCAAAAGTGCCCCGATTTCTTCAAAAGTTAGGTTTTAGTGGCCCCTTTGATAAGCGCTTGGTCGGAAGAATCGTATCTCAGCCTAGCGACCAGTGCGTGGCGAGATACAGTGGTTGTAAACGGTACAAGAAATGAACTCCGTCCACCCCTTTTCAAACTGCATAAAAATCAGGTTGTCCCGTAACAAGATTGATCAGAATGAATTGTGTCGTCACTTATATGCACTTAATAGGCACCACAGTTCGTCAGACCTGCATTTAAATCGTTTATTTTGAAGGGGGAAATGGCGAACATAACCTCAAATTGCCGTAAGGCGCATAGGCACCCATACGCCTGTGGTTGCCTGTTTGCCCGGCGCTTCTCTCTGTTCTGTTCAGCGCTGTGCTGTGCACTTAGCTGGGGATCATTTTACTTTCTTCCACTTCTGTTTTGACCACTCTTTGGCATAATCTAGGACCGTTACCTAGCCTTAGAACTTGAAAAAACAGCCATTGGAAATTTGATTATGAACTATAAATTTCTTTTTTGGGCTGTCATTTCTAAACCCGTGGGCCGATTTCGCGGAGGCTTCGTATTTTTACCCTTCTAGTAGTCCCATATCGCCTCCGTGCAAAAAGAAATTTCTTCGGGAACCTTTTATTTCAAAAGTATCCTCGGGCTAAAATGACAACCTACGCTGATAATCACCCGGGAATGAAAGCCATCAGGGACGGCGGTCTAGTGTCTCGGTCGTGACAATTTGCAGCGAGCAGACGGCGAGGCAGACGGCCCGGCCGGCCCATCGGCCAGGGGTGGCGCGACGCGGCGCCCCTCGCACTCGCAGCACGTCGTCGCCGAGTGTGCTCAACTCGGCCGCACAAACACCGAGCAACGTGCCGTGGGGCGGGGCGTCGCTGGTGGGGTCACACTGCTCGGGCCCTGCAGGACGCCAGGGCGCGCCGTCTCGGCCCGGTCTGGGCCTTTATAGCCTTTATAGAGCGCGCGGCTATCGGCCATCCATCCATAAATAAGCACAAGGGCCGATCTCACGGGGCACGCGCTAGGCTAGGCTAGGCCAGGCTAGGCTAGGCCAGGCTAGGCACTCCAGCGCTTCAGCGGGCCGGGTCGGGTTATCCAATCCATCCACCTGTCTGGGGCCGAGGAGCAAATTTGCCACGACTGGCTGAGCGCTGCCGCCATGCCCGGAAGAAAAGCCGGGCCGGCTCAGCCGTCCGGGCCGCTCAAGTTGCCGCGTTCCAAACACGGATCTGGCATTTCTCATTTCTCCAAATCGCAACTTTAAGGCGAGGCGCTGCGCGCTGCGTTCCGTTTCGAGTCGCATTCCCCTCGGTGCTGTGCGGGTGCTTCCGGACGCGTGCCCCGGGGGACGCCACGCCACGCCATGCCACGCCACGGTGCTCGTTAGACGGCGTCGCGGCCTTGCTGGCCTCGCTGGCGGCCTGGCGGCGAAGGGTGGGCAGGGCAGGGCTGGGCTGGGCCGGCAGGATCTACGCTTGGCGGAGCAATGCGGCGACACGGCGAGGTGCATGGCGCGGCCACGCGGCCAGCTGTTGCCGCCGGCTTCGTCGTCCCCCTGCAGGCCTGCAGCGCGCACTCCATGTACTCCGTGTACTCGCCCGGCCGAACACACCCGCCGCTTGAGATACCCGACTGCGCGTCGCGCGGCGTGCGCACTGGGCCGCGTCCTCCCGTTCAAACGGCCGCCGTGGTCTTTGCCTGTCGTCCTGCAGTGCGATAACTCCTGCTTGTTCTATGTTTCCACAGATTGCTCCGGCGTGCGCGGCGACTCCGGCGAGTTCCTGGTGGCGGCGGACGGCGCGGGCGCGCCCATCATGGTGCCCTGCGACATGCGCACGGCCCGCGGCGGCTGGACGGTCATCCAGCGGCGCGCCGACGGCTCGCAGGACTTCAACCGCAAGTGGGAGGACTACGGCAAGGGCTTCGGCGAGCTCGCTGGTGAGTCTAGATTGATTGCGTTGTTAATTAAGGTTGTGTTGCGGTGTAGCGACGCCCGCCTCGCCTGCCCGGTGCCCGCCCACCTTGCCCTCCGGCATCTTCCGGTGGCGGTGCGCGCGCGGCCGGGCACAGCCACGGGCACAGCCAGGCGCGCGGCGCCGTTGGAAAGTCATGATTCTGCCAGAACGCGGGCGTCGATGTCGGCGCCGAGCACCGATCCGCGACCGCGGTGGTCGTGGTTGGGTGCCGAACCTCCCAGAAGGTGACAAAGGCTGGGGAGAGCAACTTTGTCGCATCCGTTTAAACTTGGAGGAGCCAGCGGCTCGCGGCTTCTGCTTGTCCGCCGCGGATCATAACTTATTCAGTTCTGAAAGTGGAGCTTTGGCCCGGCCGGCGTCTCCCTCCCGGACTCCAGCCCCGCGTCTCAGCCCGGACTACTCCCCGGCCGCCCGGGCCGGCTTGTCCGTAAGGACTTTGATTGATCTTTGGGCGTTAATGAAGTTTTATCAGCATTTCAAATGGGCGGATCGCGCCGCTTTTCTTTCTTGTTTGCGGCGGGAAGTGGGGTGGGCAGCGCGGAGCAGTGCGGCGAGGCTTGGCACTGCTCGGGTGAAAACGGCAACGGCACCCGCCGCAACTTCCAGTCAGTTCCAGTCCCACCGGGAGCGCGCCGCGGCCGCGCGGGTATTGTTCGCTGGGGCGGCAATTTAATTTCTGTCCTCTCTGCTCGCAGGCGAGTTCTGGATCGGCAACGAGGCGCTGCACAGGCTGACGACGGACGGCTGCATGGAGCTGCGCGTCGAGCTGGGGGACATCTACGGCCAGCGGTGGCTCGCCGAGTACGACCAGGCCGTGGTCGGCCCCCGCGACGACGGCTACCGACTCAGCGTCTCCGGCTACCGCGGCAACGCGTCCGACGCCCTCGACTACCAGACCGGCATGGAGTTCTCGGCGCCGGACCGCGACCGCGACACCTCCCACACGCACTGCGCGCAGAACTACGAGGGCGGCTGGTGGTTCTCGCACTGCCAGCACGCCAACCTCAACGGGCGCTACAACCTGGGCCTCACCTGGTTCCAGGCGGACCGCAACGAGTGGATCGCCGTGGCCACCTCGGAGCTCAAGATCAGGAGGAAGCCCGGCTGCGTGTCCAGGCCCGTCGTCTGGCCCGCCTCGTCCACGACGACCACCACGACCACCACCACACCGGAGCCCTACTGGGCCTCGTCCACGACCAGCGCGGAGCAGGGCGACAGCGCCACAGCCTAGGGCTAGAGCCTAGGGCGACACCCCACACCGTGGCACACTGGAACCACGGTACGGCGCGGCCGCCTCTCCCCAGCCACAATGGCTTGGAGAGGAGAATCAGACTGTCGCCCAAAATTTAAGAGACGAAACTGTGTGAAAGTAGTGTAGTGGGCTCTCCCTCTGTGACGGTGACGGAGGACTGGGGGAGGCTCCCAGGCACTTGTTTGGTGTTCCTGGATATTTTTGGAACGTACTTCCTAGTCAGAGTGACTGCGAATGTCAGACTTGAAGAAGTGGATGACTGTGACCGAAGTGGAAAGAAAAATATGGGTGTATTTAAGTTCTGGTAGATGGTTTGTAGGCGTGTATTTCTCTTGTGGAGCATGTATCTCTTTCTAGCAGCTCTTGTTAATTGGCGGAAGAAAACTCCCTGAAAATTAATGTTGACATTGGTAGAGCTGGATTTGACATCATAAAAAGAATGTTAGGAGAAAAATCACAACTGAGTTTTAAAAAAAATTATAATAGGGGCTTGCTACAAAGAGAGACATCTGATGATCGTCTGCTTGCGATCAAAATATCTCGATAGCAGTAAACCAAAGTAATTATTATGTTACCATTTTATTTTGTATAGTTTTTCATGTAAAATATTTGATAAAGCAAAGGTTTCCTCCAATTCAGAGGTCATCTTTCAGGGCTTTGTAAATTTAGCTCATTGTTATTTATTTGTAAATAATTTTTATGGTACATAAACTAAGTCATGTAGGAAATTGTAGGTTTTAAAAATTGAAAGGATAAATGGTACCAATGCAGGTTTAGCCAATTTTTGAATAAAGGATCAACTGTTTTCCTTTCAAAAATTAACACCTTTAAAACTGAGGATGAACTGTTGAAACTCAGCCTGACACCACTTTTCATAATTTCAACACATTTAATCATCCCATTTGCATGTCATTAAAATTTTTGCTGTGGTAATATTCCAAACTGAAATTTGAAACAAATGTGGTCTTGCAATGTGAACCAAAGAATGTATGCAGAGATAGGCCGCAACTGTGGATTTTGTTTGGTGTCTTTACATTGTATAAAAACCGATCTGTCTATACAAGAGTAATTATTTACCCTCCTCCCATCTACAACACCTTTACGCGCTTGAAAGATCCATGGTTTGGATTCAATCAAGAAATTGGTTTTTTTTTGCCGCGAGCATATAGGCCACCCATTTGACACATGAGACACGTGCGTAAGCCGGCTTGTGTCCCAGAAAATTAGGAAATGGAAAAGAGAGGAACTTTACACTAACCAACACATACCCTAAAAAATGCTTCTTTTAATGCATACCACAAAACAGAATTATTAACATATTTCTAAACTTGCTATGCAAAAATATTTACACTATGTTTTGCAGCATTTGCATTGCAATATCTCAGCAAAGTGGTTAAGGATTTCCCTGGGCCCAGTTCAAAAGTCTGAGGAAAAGCCACATCTTTTTTTCGATCATAAATTACATGCATGGTCTGCTCCCACTTCACAGGTCTATATATTTGCCTCACTAATTTCTTTTGGATGTCAATTGCATCTCTGTATGGTAGACCATCAATATTTGAATGAACAGCTATTTGTGGGTCTGCTATGTGGTATTTTTTCAGTTCATTACGAAATAGCTCAGAAGCGCTCTTCATGAGTGGCGTATGAAATGCCGCACTGACAGCTATGTGTCTGCATCTCCGTATCTTCAGTTCTTTTGTATTTAGCTCAATAAATCGTAAAGCCTGGAGAAAGAGCAAAAAATTCATTGGTAAAATTCATAGTTGAGATAATAAGACATTAAGCAGAAGTCAAAAAATCTACTTCATCTTCATACTCACTTCCTTGCTTCCTGCTATAACTAGACAATTTGGGTACAAATAATTTGCCACTGACAAGTGGGGTCTTTCTACACCAGTATTGCGGCACCATTCAAGAGAAGTGTTGAGTATAGTGCCAATTTTGGCAGCTGGATCCAGAAACAAAGTGGCCATTCCACTTTCCACAAGTCCTGCGGCTTCTTGCATTGCTTCAGCTCTTGCCTTCACTAGCTTCAAACCTAGAACAAACCCAAAGACAAAAATTAAAGATGCAGTAAAGTCGGCATTTGAAATAAAAAATGGGGGACGTGAATAAAAATTCAGCTTAGGGATATATTTTAAACACATGAACCAATTCTTACCTGTTTCAAATGAAAAACAATTTGCTAAAACAAGTGAAGCATATTCACCAATACTAAATCCTGCAGTTGCCACACATGACTCAACTGATACTTGTCGTTCTTCTATCATCAACTGCAAAGCAGCTAGTGATGCTACATAGATGGCTGGCTGACAATATAGTGTCTGATCCAGTTGGTCTTGGGGTCCATTTAAACAGAGTTTTAACAAATCATAGCCTAAAATCTCATTGGCAACTTTGTACATCTTTTCCACTTGAGGCAGCTTTAGAAGTGGTTTCCCCATTCCAACATGCTGAACTCCTTGACCGGGAAATAGTATGATGGACGTTTCATGAGGGTCAATCTTTGGACGATTGACTTTTAGACCCTGGTCTCGAACCTTTTCAGCTTGGAAAGGTGATTTCAGCCATTTTTGATCTCCAATCTTTTGCCTACTGCCTACTGATGCATTATCTAGTAAATCTTTGAGCTGCGATTCAGATGGTTGATTCATTTTTGCAGAATTGCCTCTCTTCAGAAAAGTGCTGGAGCAATGCAGGCTACGAGCTCTTACTCCTAAACACTCCATAAGAAGTAAATTCTTTATGGCAATCATTGTACTAAGTGACTCTACTTGAACACTCTCCTATTATTTACTTTGTTTATTTAATATCCACAAGTAGTCTCACAGAAGTAGAAACCAGAAACCACAGCATTCTGAATAACGATACGGTCTATAACAGCATGGCGAGGGTTAGGTTATCCCATGACAATACAGCTGTCTTGAAGCAGACGAATAAAATATCAATATTTGAAATAACAAAGAAAGCTCGCTTCTCTACACTCCAGACTTATTTTTCTCAGTTTCATCCGTTGTATTTTAATTTGAAGAAAGTTTCTGGAGAATCTTGTCTTCCAAGCAGACAGAATTTGTTTTGGTTGTGGTTGAGCTGTAGAAATTTCTCATATAGTTGTTTACAATTTAAGGAAGTGTCGACGCAAGCGACAAGCGACACGAAATTTAGCATTTCTATTTACTGCGGTGTTTTTATCTGATTTCGTTTGCTGAAATGGTATTGATATAGCAAATCAAATAATAGAGATTCCATTTTAATTAAAGGCTGTAGTGAAACCACCGGTGTTGTTTTGTTGTTGTTATTGTCACTGGTTAACAAGTGAGAAAGTATGGCTGTCAGGTGGGATGGGTTCTCAGAGGAGGATATAACCAAAATGAAATCTCATTCGGATTTTGATAAAACCACGAATAATCGTCAGAAGATGAAAGGTAAATGAGTTTCTGAGCCTTGCTTGATTCAGCACATTTGCTCATCGATGTCTAGTTCACCATTGATTGCCATAGTCGTTCAATAATAAATGTCATTGACCCTGTTTCTGTTTCTCATTTATTCAGGTGTTGACCTTTCTCACAATGGCAAGAGGAAGTTAAGTGCAGTTTCACCAAAGAAAGCAAATCCTCAAAATAATTCTACTCAACGATCGTCTATTGACAACAGCAACGGGATTCAGCTTGATGCACCTTCTCGAACGGTACTTTCATTAAGTGTAATTCTCCTTTGGTTTTGTGTTGTATTGAATAGTTTGGATCTGGTTTGAAAATTTTCTTTCATGGGGTTGTTGTTCATGTAGACTTTTGTCCAGTACGCTATATTTGTGCAGGTTAAGTGAACAGTGCATGCGGAAGGAAAATTAGAAGGGTGTCATGCTGTTCCTCATATCTCTTCTACATCACTTAATTTATTTGTGTAGGTCAGTAGCCAGCCTGTGAATCCAGAAACTTGTTCTGATTCACCTCTGGATTCTACAAAATGCTCGCAAGAGTTAAAGTGTGAGAAAACCGACAGAAATATTGAATCCATCACAAACATTGAGCCACAGGTTGATAAAGATGATTTCAAAAAGTCCTGCTTAACAGCCAAATTAGTTATGCCATCTATATCAGAACCACCACCCTCTTCTATCAACTTAAGTGACTTCAGAGCTAAGCATAGATTGATGGAAGAACAGAATCGAGCTCGTAAGGTTTTCTTGGCAAAAGCACTTGAAGATAGGTAAGAATATATAATTTAATCTACATCCTCTCATCCTAACATATGTACATATGCAATTCAAAAAATTACTAATACTGCTTATCACCATTCACACTAATTAATCTTAAACCATTCACATTTCTAGTCTTTCTCTGTTTCTTTTTACTCGTTCTTTACCTACTTTCTATATCCATACAAAGGTAAAGACGAGTATTGTGTTTGGTAAGACACAACTTGGTGACACATGTTTAACTCAGTAAATACTTAACACACAATTGTAATGTAATATTTTTTGAATAGGTATGGTTTTGGTGAGAAACTAATGTTAGAAGCTTTTTTCTGTTACCATGAAGCACTTTTTACCTTAAAATCAATAGGAGCGAAGTGCAAGTTCTGGACTGAATGATGGAATAGGATATTTTGCAAAGTTAAACATTTAGGACCAAGTGTTGTGACTCATTAGAAAGCCAACAATGAGTCCTAAAATTCTCCTCTTATGAATTTTACCCGTTTATTACATGATTTTTTGAGATTACTAGATGTTGTGCTGTTGCCAGCCAAAATGTTCTAAGTCCCACGGTTTTAACCTCAACAACGGTGCCGGCGCATGCGCCCTCTCGCCGCTAGGTCTCAGGGAAGCCCCGTCCCTCTAGGGGCATTGTTAGCACACCCCAGCCATGTAACGTGATGTAGACCAATGGATACAGCCCTGCTCCCCCGATCTCTAAACCCAAGTTCAATGCCCATAGATTGTACTACACAAGCATTATTTTTCTCTGAAGTAATGTTGTTACCAAAACCTTGAACTATTCAGAAGACATCAGTTAAATGGTTTACGCCTTATATTGACTGAAATACTGAGATTACATTTGTGTCACCTGAAGGCAAAGAACGAGTACCACTTAGCAAAATTGATAAATTGCTTCTCTAACTTGTTCTTTACTGCAATAAACCACAAATTGAAGAAATTCAAAAGGAACAAAGGATTTACCAATCAGGTAGTGTGATTATGCCCTGAACAGTTTCAGTTTCATGATTTTACAAGTTTCACACCATGCATCTGTCCTTTAAGAGAAATGCTTTTTCAATTCTGTTGGAATGGTAACTTAAAAATGTTATGCTGTCCCCAAAACCCTGCCTTTGTAGCTTTGATCAGTTTTAATAATATTCTTTTTTTTTTCTTTTCTTGCTGTGGTGTGGAGGGATAACATAAACATCACAATCTTGTTTCCTGTCAGCTGCACTTATCTGCTCCAACAACAAAGTGTCTCTTGTGCACATAATGTTTGTGATTTATAGTCTCCATCTAGGCAATGGCACTGATAACCCCATGCAATAGATAATGCTTTCTCCTTCCCTGATTTCATGCATGCTCTATTAGTAACCGTCTGCTTCTTGTGGTGAAGAGTCTTTTATTTTGTGTATTCTTAATGTCTGGCTTCCTCTTCCAACAACATTTTGAGGTGTCCCCTCACCATTGCTTTTTGCATCTGCACAGGAAAAAGCAGACCCATGCAGAGCAACTTCGCCTTGGCATGATCCAGGAGGAACTACAGAAGCTTGACCAACGACTAAGCTGTGACGTTTCTATCATTCGAAACCAAATTGAAGCAGCCAGCGTTGAGTTCATGGAAGCTCAGTTAGTTTTTTGTTGTTTTTTTTTTTCAGTTGAAACATTCTACTTATGTATTGCACCTGAACCTATTTAACTTCAAATATTCTTCAGGAAACGATATGATCGCGCCGAGAAGGAGTTCCTGGAAGCCAAGCTTCATCTATACACCAAGTTGGAACGGAAAGAGCTTCTGACACATCACCTTTGCACCATTATAGAGCAGAATGAAATGAGAAAAGCGCAGAAGCTCTCAGAGCTAATGGAGAAACTTCAGATGCCTGAAACAGTGAGTGACATTTAATAGTTTGGGTCTGTGGCATTAAGGTTCTCTAAACGCACACTGTTATGTCTTCCAGGATGTACCGCAACCCATAGAAGAGGAATCCAAAAAGCCTAATGAAGCAACCACAGAAACAAAGCGTAAAATCTCAGCAGAGATTATCTTAACCCCCACTTCAGTTGTACCTCAAAAGGAAATGACCATTGTAAAATCCAGTGAAAATAAGTAAAGGTTGACTAAATGTGAACCCCCTTTTTTTTTCTTTACTAAAAAAAAAAGAGTGTCGAAAGTCAGTGAAACAACTGATGTCTAATCTAGGATGTATTTTATTGATAAGTTTTCAAAGTACAAGAAAAGTTTAATTTTACTTGTAAAATCCAGTAAAAAGCCTTTTGTTCACCATATCAATGCCAATGTATTTGTGATAGATTACTAGAGGACCCTGGCACCTTTTAAAAAAGAGAGAGCTTCCATTTTTACTTTTTTTAAATCAATTTTATAAACAAACAAAATTAAATTTGACTTATGTGTGTTAACTGACACAGTTGTCACTTTTGTGATGCTCATAGTATGCACGTAAGTGATGTACCTGCACTTCTAATTTTTAAAGTAAGTTTTTATGTTCTGGGATCTTATTAGATCTGTATACCTTCAAGAGAAACATTGTTAAAGAGATAGATTGAGAGAGAGAGAGAGACAGAGAGAAATAGAGTGAAAACAAAATGCTAACGGTGGAGAGATTTTTAATGCTGATGGCTCCTGTAAAGGAGGCAAACTAACTTGATTTTTGCCTAAGTTTTCTGAAGTAAGGAATTGAATTAATGTTCTGTAATTGACAACCTGAGATGAGTTACTGTGAAAGTTTGTTTTAACCCTTTGCATTCCTGTGATCCAAGGCATAGCCTCTATTATTTCCCTACACCTTGTTGCTGTTGTGTTTCTATTATCAAATAGGAAGTTACTTCTTACTCCGAGATTGCTTATAATTTTGTTCTCCCCCTCCCCCCAAAAAATTATATTAAATGTTATTTATTTATGTGTCACTGTATATGATAAAATTTGAATGCTAGAGCTAATGCTTTTACCTGAAACTTATCATTATTCTTTAAAATGTCTTACATTCATCTGTGCCTTAAAATTGATTTTGTAACTTTTTTCACGTGTGATTGCAGTCACAGCTTGGGCTTTGGCCTCCTGTAAATTCTGAGGTATACTATCATCAATGAATTATATAACTGCTAAGAAGACTAACTTTTTTCATTCAGAACAAGAAACCTTGCCATCAACATTCTTAAACGGGGGAACTCCCATATAGCTCACATGACACCTTCAAAGTCTGTGCCCGAGTAAGGTGAAATATGGTGGGTGGAGAAAAGAGGAGGGGGGGGGGACATGTTCTGATGGCATTTCTGGGGAAAAAAGTCAACCGTCCATCGTGCATCAATCTGAAAATATGCCATGGGACTCTACAACACCCTAGAGTTGTAGCCCTTAGAATTCTGAACGCGAAATACGCCATACCGAGCAGGGCCCACCAACCCAATCGTTAGCTTGTACACCTGCTAGTTCAGCCCTTCTTTTCCTCTGAGGGTTAATGATTATGGCAGTCCAAGAAGGTTTTTATTAACGCGAAGAATATGGAAAAGATAAAAGATTAAAAAAGAGGCTTAAATATTTTTCTCTTCTAAAAAATACATTGAATGCAACAGTTGTCAGACACTCGGGCTCGAACGTAAAACAATAAAATGTCAAGTATAGTTCATTAATTTATGTACTTTCATTCAGCCCCAGTCAACGAAACTATTCATTGAAATCCACATTTGGTTTGATCTTTTTGTGAATACAAATTTCCTTCATTCTTAAGAATGTATGGCTTTACTTTTTGTGCCGGGAGGATGGCAACGTGCTTGAACACACATACGAACACAGACGGACACACGGGAGAGAGATGATGATCGAGCCTTCTGTTTCTGTTTAAGAAGATATTGTTTTGTTTTATTTGATCGTCGTAGGGCTTGCCCATATAGGTAAATTTAACTTTGAACAGTTCCCGTGACCCTCTCCTCGCGCTACTGGTGTTTTCCTGACTTCTTTCTTAACTGAAGTAGGTCAGTTGACATGACCTGAGGCGTCTAAATATAGTCTGCCCATATAGTCTGTTCTTAGTTGAAGAGGCGTGTGGGGTGTGGGACGAGACAGATAGACGAATCCAATGCCATTCGTATTGGGGATTTTGCGTGGGATTTGATTTTCTGAAATGAGTAGTGTTTTTGCCGTACCTGCAATGGCAGGAAAGGTCTGGTTTAATATTGACTGTCTTTTCATGGGGTTTGTCAAGGCTGGCTCAACCATCATGGTCATGCCTGTTTTGTTTCACATCATCTGCTTATGTTGACATATGGGCTCCTGATTTGCGGTCGTTTGAATTGATGTGCTCTGACGCTAAATTAACATTCGTTTAACCAATTTAACGAATATTTCCATTCTTGTGCAGGAACAGAAAATGAGTAACAACAAGGCGACACCTCTCCCTGCGTACACACCAGGAGCACCGCCAATGGCTGCACCCCCAACGTACGCTCAAGCAGTCGGAGGGGTGCCTCCCACAAGTCCATTTACTCCCACCCAAACACGTAAATATCTATCTTCAAAGTGCATGCACTAGTGCTATCTGATTTTGTTCTATCGTGCCGTATTTTCATTTCAGAAAATGGTCCCACTATTCTGACAACTGTTGTTCCCGTGGGTCCTCAATCAACGCATATGATTTGCCCCCATTGCTTGGCCGAAATTGAGACTTCAACTAAAACTGAACCAGGAATGATTGCTTACATATCAGGTGTTGTCATTGCTCTGCTTGGGTGAGTAAATACAATTGTCCCTCTTTAAAATGAGTTTAGCTCTTGAACTGTGAGTAAATCGTGTGTGTCTGTTTTAGGTGTTGGCTGGGCTGCTGTCTTATTCCATGCTGCATCCCAGAATGTATGGATATACATCACAATTGTCCAAATTGCAAAGCCTATCTGGGACGTTTCAGGCGATAAGCTTCTCACCTAAATTTTATCATTCTATATGTGAAAGCTTTTGTTGACTATTGCTCCACAAGCTCTTTGTAGCCTTTTCGACATCGAACAATTTTCTTGTATGAAACTATCTTATTTTACTCAAGGTTTTGTGACAGACTATCTTGCAGAGGTGCATAGGTCTGATGGTTTTCTGTCTTGTGAAAATTCTGCACTTTTGTGAGATGATGTCATATGCCCATACAGCATGTCAATTCAATTTGTGTGTCAACAGTGAGCTATGCAGTAGTGCTGGAACCGCCACTGCTGGAAAATGACACAAACATTTTATAGGCTTCTGATGCACTTTGTGTACAAAAATTGCTTTTATATTCTTGACAAACATTCTCTCTTAAGGAGTGAGACTCATTGTATGCATATATTTCTGGGTGACTGAACTGTTTTGAGCCAACTTGTAATCTCATCAACAGAATATTGTGTTTTCAACTTAATTTTGAGGAAACCAGGAGATTGTTGACCCTATCATCTTGAAAGTCTTTTGCCTTGTGGGAATATGTTGTACATGCACCGCATTTTGTTCTTCAATGACATGGCTATGTGCAATATCATGCGGTCCAATTTATTTAAAAGATCTTGCACATTTGCACAAATTTTGATACATTTTGCAAACTAAAATCTCATAATATTTTTTTACTAAATATGTGACTTTTGATATATTTATTTAACACAATCTGGGTATTTTGCAAGATCTGATTTAGCTTTTTATCAATATATTTAATTGAAAATGTATGTGATGCTCAGGCTGACTACCTACTCTCCTATGTGGTTTACACCTTGTCTTGCTGTTAGGTATGCTTCTTTATAGGAAATAATAAAATAAACTTGGTAGCAGCTTTAAATTTAAGCTCGGCAGCTTTAAAGTTAAGCTCTATGTATGATAGTTTATTGTTTGGCAGTGTGAGAGGGAGTGATCACACTTGAATGGTATTGGCTGGTTTATTGGGAACAGTGTGAGACTCGGTTGCAGAAATTAATTTACAGCTTTGGCAACAGGAGGGGGAGGGTGGTTAGGGCAGGTGAGGGGTGTGTTCAGAAAGAGAGTCAGGGACCTTGGCCAAGAAAGGGCCAGAGAAAGAAAGAAGAATAAATAAAATCAGGGAACTGACACCAAGCTGCTTCTAGCATTCAGCCAAAACACTATAGTACTGTAGTTCATTAGGTTTCGAACGAAAATGTCCTCAATTTAGTTGTAACTGACCTTCAGATATTAATAATTTAATCCTTCCTGTTTATGCTCTGTGCATTGAGTAATTGTTTATAGTAATTCTCTGATAATGTATTGCTTTAATGAAACTGATAATGTCATATTTTTGTAACAATGTAACAATATCCATTTTTGAAAAATGTTAAGATGTTTTGCTTGAAAATTTATGGTAGCCCTCATGTGGGACTCAAATGTGAAATATTTGATGTTACAGTAGTTTCATCCCACTGTTAGATGTGTATTTTGGACTTATCTGTAATCTGGATTAATTCATTAAAAGCCTTTGTATGTATTAAATTAATGTCCTTTACTAACTTTTGAGCCCCACCATCCTAATCACATAAAAAAGACTACTACTCAAGGATTTTGAACTATTAGTTTTCTGAGTAAAGTAAACTTCCATTCACTGTCTCAACTTTTATTATTCATCATATTATACTGTGACAACAGGTACAAAGTTTCAGAATTGGGTCATTGTTTCGGTATTGCAATATCAGGTCTCACAAATTTTGAATTTGATGTGTACATTAAAAAACAGGCAAGAACTCTGCATGTAAAAGAAAAATAAGACACACCACAGACCATCCACACCCTTAAAGGTGGATGTAAGTGTTTTACAGAGGACTGAAAAAACACAAACCGAAAATGCTTCCGAAAGCAAGAAGTCTATGCACACTACTTTTAGTGCATTACACGCCATAATAAGGATCAAACAAAATAAATAGAAGGGAAGGGCCTCGTGCTGCAGGCGCTGCATGGGAGGCAAAGAGGTATGGCACAGGCGCCAGACCAGGATCACTTATCCTTAGAGCTTAAACTACACTCCTAAACGGTAAGAATGAGCCGCCCGCGGTGCCTGCTGGTCGTGGAGCACCACTTCGCGGCAAGCCGTCTGATCCCGAGGGACCGTTTGGTCGCTCCGTCTCTGTCGCACTCATGAGTGTTGCCTATGGGAGCGAGAGAGACAGCGACCAAACGATCCCTCGGAATGAGGCGGCAGGGGCCAGGCCCCGGGCTGCCCCGGGCGAGCAGGGCTCTGGTCCACGCCCCGCGGGACAACTCAACTCGAGGCGCTCAACATTTCATTCATTTGATGCCCGTTTAAGACAAAGCCGAGTGGCGGCCGTGCGGCCGTCGCGTCGCCGGCCAGCTCGCGGCCCGGCAGAGTGCGGCGCGGCGCGTCTGGCCGCGGAGCCGCGAAGCCCGAACACGGCCCGAGTGTTACGTGGAGCTGCAGCTCGGCAGCCGTCGGCGGCACGGCGAGGCGTGGCTGGTTATATCACAGACCATTCAAAGCGCGCCCCCGCCCCGGCCCGGTACCTACCTACCCGCGTACCCAGTACCCGCGCCAGCCCACCGTGTCCGTGTCCGCAGCGCGGCGCCCACACGCCGGCCTTCCCTCCCGGGTCCTTCCCGGCCTTCCTGGCCGAGTTGGCCCACTCGTTGAGGTGGGCCGGGCCGGGCCGGGCGTGGTGGGGGCAACGCGGCGGCGCGTCGCGGTAGAGGGCCTCATGGTCGCGGGCGGCGACGCAGCAGTCAGAAATCCGTCACGAAATCCAAAGTCCTGCTGCGGCTGCGGCTCTCGCGAACGCAGGCGCAGGCGCGGGCGGCATGGGCGCGGCGCGGCCCGGCCGGGTGAGGCAGGGCAGGGCAGGGCAGGCCGGACTACACCTTCTGCAGGCGGATGGACACGTGGGTGAGGATGCAGAAGGCGGCGGTCCAGGCCGCGGTGATGACGAAGGCGCACTGCACGTCGTAGTTGTCCAGGCCCCAGCCGCGGCCCATGATGACGCGCAGGCCGTGCACGGGGTAGGTGAGCGGCAGCCCGTGCGACACGTGGCGCAGCATGGAGTACATGCCCTCCCAGGGCCACGACACACCTGCAACACGAGGGACGAGGAGAGCGTGCGGTAGCTGACGAGGCGGCCGTCGTCGCGGTGCTCCGCGCTGCTCTGTACTCACTGCCGAGGAACATGAAGATGAAGCTGGCCGCCATGCCGAACAGCGACGCGGCCCACTCGGACGGCGAGTGCAGCGCCACCAGGAACCCTGCGGGCGACAGGCAAAGCTCCGTTCACACAGGACACTCGTCTAAGGCCGTTGAGGATGAATAAGTCGAAAGAAGGAACGGAAACGACGTCTGACGCGAGCCCCGAGCCCCTCCACCTCTGTGGACAGGTTGCCGGCCGGATCCGTCTGCGCCGCCACTGCCGCGACGGACTGCCGTCGGCGACTCTTACCGAACCACATGCCGGACAGGCCCAGGATGCACATGAGGAAGAAGGACAGCCAGAAGGAGCCGACGATGTTCAGCTGGAACACGCCGAACATCATCCCCATGATGATGATGGTCTGCAGCCCCATGAGCAGGAGCTGCACCACGTAGTGCGCGTAGAGGACCTCCATGAGCCGCACGCCTGCAAGCAACCGCCGTTTATTGTAGCGTGGCGACGTGTACCTCGATGGCGAGTAGGATGGGGTTGCTCTGTTAGCCGAATCATTGAATCGTGAAGGCCGACCCGCCGAGAAGGAGCGGCGGTTGGGTTGCCTATCCCAGCGGTTCTCAACCTTTCTCGGCTCGCGACCCCAAATTTGTAGCCAAAAATTTCCGCGACCCCCAGGAAAAGTTTCGCGACCCCACGGGACCCCTCCTTTAGCATGCCACTGCGTCTGATCCGAGGCGGGCATTTTGCTCCCTCAACGGGCAATTGGTCTTTGGACCTTCCTTTAGCATGCCTCTGTTACGGAGTGCGATTATCAGTCTTAGTTTGGGAGCAGTATTGTCTCAAAGTTGGCCAAAACGCTCAGAAATGTCTTAAAAAATCATGTTTTGGGTCGATTTTAAGCAGCCACTGCGTCTGATCCGAGGCGGGCATTTTGCTCCCTCAACGGGCAATTGTTCTTTGGACCTTCCTTTAGCATGCCTCTGTTACGGAGTGCGATTATCAGTCTTAGTTTGGGAGCAGTATTGTCTCAAAGTTGGCCAAAACGCTCAGAAACGTCTTAAAAAATCATGTTTTGGGTCGATTTTAAGCAGCCACTGCGTCTGATCCGAGGCGGGCATTTTGCTCCCTCAACGGGCAATTGTTCTTTGGACCTTCCTTTAGCATGCCTCTGTTACGGAATGCGATTATCAGTCTTAGTTTGGGAGCAGTATTGTCTCAAAGTTGACCAAAACAGGCACAACGATTTTTCAAAGACATTTCTGAGCGTTTCGGCCAACTTTGAGACAATACTGCTCCCAAACTAAGACTGATAATCACACTCCGTAACAAAGGCATGCTAAAAGAAGGTCCAAAGACCAATTGCCCGTTGAAGGAGGACGAAATACCGCCTCGGGTCAGACGCAGTGGCTGCTTAAAATAGGCCCAAAACACGATTTTTCAAAGACATTTCTGACCGTTTTGGTAAACTTTGAGACAATACTGCTCCCAAACTAAGACTGATAATCACACTCCGTAACAAAGGCATGCTAAAGGAAGGTTCAAAGACCAATTGCCGGTTGAGGGAGCAAAATGCCCGCCTCGGATCAGACGCAGTGGCTGCTTAAAATCGGCCCAAAACACGACCCCAGCTACCTCGCCGCGACCCCTTAAAATTTTTTCGCGACCCCACTTGGGGTTGCGACCCTAAGGTTGAGAACCACTGGCCTATCCCGACGGGCGCTCTTCCTAGACTCCACAGCCACCACACCGAAAACGATTGTGGACTGGTTTGTCTTTGTCGTTCCGCCCCTTACCTGTCACGATCTGCCGGTCCAGGATGGAGTTCCTCTTCTCGGGCAGCAGCGCGCACATGGCCGAGTTTCCGGCGAGCATGAACACCAAACTGCAAGGGAGACGAACGGTTTGGTGAGGGTCTTTGGCTCGGCAGCAGCTGTTGCGCTGGCTAGTGGCGGGCTCGCTTACCTGCACACCATCCCGGGGGAGGCGAAGTCGATGAACTCGGGCTCGTTGGTGCCGTACACGGGCTGCGCAAACTGCAAAACGCAAAACAGAAACGAAAAGTAAAGTTGGGTAAAGTTGAGAGAGAGCTTGACCGTCGCCGAGGCGCCGAGACTCACGTCGACGGGCAGGGAGCCGGCCTCGCGCGGAAAGCCGCAGTCCGAGAAGAGGTCCTTGATGAAGATCTGCATCAGGTCCAGGAACTTCTTCGTCAGCAGCTGGCTGATCATGGCGTCTGCGGGGGACCGATAAGGAATAATCAGACGTCAATGTTAAAACTAGAAAGACTGAGGTTTGATAATGCGTGTGAGTTGGAGTGCTGCTCACCGGTCATGTCCATGGTGACGTCCACGATGCTGGAGTCCACCACGGCGGACGGCGCACTCTTGCCCTCGTCTATCCGCTGGTACAGGCTCTCGGTGAAGTTGTGCCGGAAGTGAAGGACCCCCCAGGACTTGCCTCTCCGCACCCTGCTGTACGCCTCCTCCAGGTCCGTGTGGTAGTGCTGCAAAGCGAGCCATTTCACGTCAGCGAGTTCGCCTCACCAATAGCCCGCGAAAGGAGGAGGGCGAGCCCGGCGCAGTGTTGCCGCGTATGTAGGCAAAAGTTCGTACGAAGGCCCAGTGTCCAAGGGGTTGCCAACCTCAGCCTGCACCAGGCAGCCAGGGGTTGTGGGTTGACAACCCTTTCGACGCTGGTGCATCCTGGGAATTTTTGTCTGTGACAACGCTGGTCAGGCGAGATGGCGCCAGCGAGTGCTTACAAAGTTGACGTCCTTCCTGCTGATCATGTCGATGTAGATGCAGGAGACGTGGGTGTTGTTGCTGCAGCGGCCGTTCCAGGCGCGCTCGCTCAGGTCGGTGCAGTTGGACTCGTCGTTGACGATGCTCATGGCCAGGTCCTTGGGGTCGCGGCCGATGGACAGGCAGAAGGACGTGGACTGGATGACGGACATGATGACGAGGATGCCGAGTACCCTGCGGCAGAGGCAGACCGACACGTCTTAGACTCCTCTGGGCCGCCCGGGCTAGCCCGTAATGGTAATGGTACATCAGGTAGGCAGCCGCCGGCCTTGCGGACAGCCGTGTCCACCGGGTTGCCTACCCGACGAACGCAAGGCGCTCGGTCGCCGGGTTCGAGCCCCGGCGACGGCCTGGTTCGTTCGCTTTCGGGAGCCTTGCGTGCATCCCCCACCCGTTTCCGTTATGCGATGCAGCAAAAGGGGGGAAGGGGGTAGTTAAGGTTCAGGAGAACGCGCGGTCATTTCGCGGCGTCAATGTCAGCGCGTCGATAGTTTTGCCGCGTGGCGTGTGGCGTGGCGTGGCTCGGTTCGCGTGTCGCGACGCAGCGGCCTTATGGCTATCGGCGGGCAAGGTCGCCGCTAGGTCAGGGAGGGAGGCCGCCACACTGTCACCTCACTTCCAGCACTTCCAGCGTAGGTACGCACCACTTGCTGCGCTTGAGCCAGGTGATGTTCCTCCAGACCAGGGCGTGGAAGCGCACCCACATGGTGCTGCCGCGGCTGAGGCTGGTGCCGTCGGAGGGGGTCACGTGGTACATGTCGGCCTCCTGCAACAAGTGCGAGTGAGACAGTGAGACGAGTCGCGGCGCGCCCTTCGCTCCTCTCTCTCGCTCCTCACCTGGGGGGCGGCCGCCACGAAGGCCTGGCTCTCGTTCTCGTGGCCCTCGATGGCCTCGTGCTGCTCCTGCTGCTTGCTGAGTGTCAGCAGCACGTCCTCCAGGTTGTCGCAGCCGAAGCGCGACAGCAGGTCGTCGGGCGCGGCCTGCGCCAGCAGCACCCCGTGCCGCATCAGGCCGATCTGGAACGCATGTGGAACACATGTGCGAGTGAGACAACTAGGCAGGGCGAGCCAGGCGAGGGACCTTGCCGAGCCTGCAATTAGCGGTGGCACGGCCGGCGTGGCGTGGCCCCTTGGAAAGAGTCAAAACGGCGGCAAAAGTGGCGGCGCGGCCCTGGCGTGGCGTGGCGTGGCGTGGCGTGGCACTGCCAGTGCGTGCCCGGCCTGGCCCGGCCGCGGGGCCACTAACGTCCCTGTTTATGGCCACCAAGTTGTGCGGCCGCAACGATAAGAACTCCTGCATCTCGTCCTTAAGCGCAGTTTTTCGGGAGGACATTGTGGTGGGCAGGGTGCGGGCCACTACACTGCACTTGCAGTGCCCCAGCACTTCGCGGCCGCCTGCCAATGGCCTGTGGCGGCTTGGTGCGCGCTCCGTGCGAGCTTTATGGGCCCACTCACCGCGTGCGCCTGCCGCGCCTCCTCGATGTAGTGCGTGGTGATGATGACGGTGGTCCTCTTGGTGCGCACCATCTCCATCAGGTGGTCCCAGATGCTGCCGAGGGGAAGCAAACGGCGTTAGAGTCAAGGCTAGCTCGCGTTTAGACAGAGGGGTTGGGGCCGTGAGGGCGGCGACTCACCTCTGGCGCAGCACGGGGTCCACGCCGACGGTGGGCTCGTCCAGGATGAGGAGCGTCGGCCGGTGCAGCAGCGCCACGGCGAAGGACACCCGCCTCTGCTGGCCGCCACTGCGTCCGACAGACAGGGAGTAGAGTCGCGGACCGGTCACGGACGGCATGCCAAATTACACAGTGACCCGCGCGGCGCGTATAGCGCGTGGCCCGCGGGTGTGGCAACATTAGCGTGGCCAGAAAAGCAAGCAAAATGCTCCACAGCCTATTGGCCGAGCGATTCCGGGGAGTCGTTTCGTCGCTCTGTCTCTCTCGCACCCTTACGGGACGCCCCGTGAGTGCGACAGGGACGGAGCGACTCTCCGGGATGGGCCCGCTGCTCGCGTGACTGGCGTGACTGGCGTGACCACGCAGACTCACCTGAGCTCGCCGACCAGGGCGCCGTGCGTCGGCAGGTCCAGCAGCTTCATGACGGTCCTGGTCTGCTCCTGGATGACCTGCTCGCTGAGGCCCGCGATGCGGCCGAAGTACCAGAGGGTCTCCTTGATGTTGAACTCATCGTACAGCCCCAGCTCCTGCAAAACAGAGTCGACCGTAAACCTTTGCTTCAGACAGAGACCCGCGTCCTTTTTGTTCACAATCTGTTAATTTTTAATTATTTTTCTTTTTTGTAGTCTTGTCTTTGAAAGTTTGCAGGGAAAGCTGGGGAATCAATACGTAATGAGCCACGTCCCTGTCGTGCTGGGAGTCCGCGCGGCCGCGTGGCACTGACGCCGGACAGCTGGGAATACCTTTGACAGGCCTTCAAAAGTCGACGTCGTACGGCGGGCTGGCTTAGGCCTTGCCGCTGCTCCGTCGCTTTGTCTCTCTCGCGCCCGAACGGAACGCCCCACGAGTGGGAGCGAGACGGAGTGAGTGTTCGGAATATCGGCCTGCTGGCCAGGCCTCATGGCACCGTTTTTGGCTCAGCTCGAGGCGTATCGCCACAACGATCACCGCAAACATCCATTTGTGCTGCCGTGCCGTGCCGTGCCCTGCCGCCCTGCGCGGCGCCCTCCGAGTCCCCAGCGCACGCGACACACTGGGGGGGGGGGGGGGACCGGCAATGGCCCCGAAATGTCTAGCCGACTTCTGGATGCACGCGAATGCAAGTGCATGTCCTTGGCGCGGTCGTCGGCGCCCCTCCCCAAAAGTGCAGTGTCGCGGCCGAACTGCCTGCAAGGGTGGAAATGTTTTCAAGGTCCGCCGATTCTCGGCCGGTGCGTTTAAACCGCCATTATCGTGCGCGGCCAGTGCAGCGCGCACCGCCAGCAGGTCGATTCCGAACGTCGACCTGTCTCTCTCGCACCCGCACGGGACGCCCCCCGAGTGCGAGAGAGTCGTGCCGACCAACACTAGCGGTGTTTGCAATGAGCCTGCCGAGGGCGCGCGGCGCGGCGCGGTGCGGTCCGAGTGTCCGAGCGGTGAGCGCGGCATGTTACCGTCCTGCCGGCCACCGCGGCTGCAACCGCACCAGACTCTCCAACTGTCGCAATGCCACTAATGATGCCCCTGGCGTGGCGCCGAGCGGTGCGGCGTGTGTGGTGTGCAGGACTGGCACGCGTTTAAACACGAGTCGGTTGACATGTTATACGTACACGTAGACAGGAAAAAAATAGGTTTCCCTCACTTTTTTGCAGCGTGTAACTTATGACTGTAGATTAATGGGATATTAATGATGGATGGAGCAGCGAGACAGTATACTCTCACCAGGCCTGTCGGCATGTATGGCAGGCCATGGATTTGAAATGAACAGGCCACTCCACGGAGCGTTGCAGAGGTGAATTCTCGTCGGTTCAACGACCGTTTGCTTTGCTGATGTGCTTGCAGTGGATTGATCACAACCAATTGAAACAGGGCTCATCTGGCCGTTGGGAAGTTGTGCAGTCTACATCGGCTGTCAAATTGCTGTATCAAGTTTTGCATTGTAGCGGCGCGGCCATGGCGGGGTCATCACTGGATACCGGTTCCCTGTGGTTCCCTGTTCTAGCGTCATCCTTTCGGCTGACCTTGCACGCACACTTACCGCCTCGATCGTTAGAGACCCGGCGCCCCGCACGCGCATCCCCACGGGTTCGCACACCCAATAGGATGCAGCCAATCACTATTTGAATTTGCAATGTAAAACGGGCGGCTGTGAACGTAACTCTCCTCCGCTCGTTTCCCGCCAATTCGCCTATTCCAAGGACGCCCGAGGCAGTCCGCGGCCGAGCATGGAATGGAGCAGCACGACGCTTTTAGTAGTGTTGTGACGGGGACAAGATCTTCTTTTTTGGCCCAGGGGACTCCATATCGGCCAAGTGTTTGTGACGGCGCCGGCCATGCCGGTTCAGTCATTCCTCGTCTCTCGCGGGGCGCGCGGTGTGGGTGCGAGGGAGGCAGGGCGACGGTCAGTCCGCAGCGCAGTCCGCGGGGACCCTGCCAACCCTGCCGACGCGTTATTGGTCGGAGCCAAAGCCAAACGGCACGGCGCGGCTCGGCGAGGACGAGAGGACGAGAGGGACGACACGACGGCAAGTAGCGGCGGCCGGACGGCGCCGCATGGCGCATGTCAATGGGGGCTAACCGTCACTGGGTCAAGGTGCGGGCAGCGCGGCCAGGCGTACGCCCTGCACGGACCAAGGCTTTGTCCAGGCCGGTGTGACGGGTTCGAGTACCGGACGGGGCGAGGTTTATTTTTCGCTAGGGTAGTTTGATAGTCCGTCCTGGGAAAAGAGGGGGGGAGGGGCGGGCTGTGTGGAAAGACTCGGCCAGAGTCGTCGCCGTGGCATGCCAGTGCTGGACGCGTGTCTGGGGATCACATGCACGAGTTGCTTATCGGGGCTGCCTGCCCGTCTGTCTGTCTTTCTGCCCGCCCGTCTGTCTGTCTTTCTGCCCGCCCGTCTGTCCGTCTGTCTGCCTGCCCGTCTGACTCACCTGCGGCATGTAGCCGATGGCGGGCCCGGGGATCTCTGCCCCGGGTGACCCGGGCACGCTGCCCAGGACGCGCACCTCCCCCGACGTGAAGCGGTGCTGGCCGACGATGGCCTTGAGGATGGTGGACTTGCCGCAGCCGCTTGAACCGAGAAGGCCGTAGCTGCAACACAACAAAGCACTCGGATGAATGGCGCGAAGGGAAGGACGAGCCGCGAGGCCGCGGGGCCATGGGCGGCCTGCAGGGCTGGGGCCGCATTCGAGGAAACCCACTGCACTTTTAGGCAAAAAGCATGGGAGTTGGGTCATTTGGGGTGCTTTTGGGTCGATTTCGTTCCGCAGGGCCTAAATAGCGGTCTGAGAGCGAGGGCTGGTGGGTCCCAGATCCCGCTCTGTCCGCTGCCTTTCAGTGAGGGCTAGGCTCCTCCGTGAACTTGACGCAATCGACTAGTACACGCCGCAACCGCGCGGTCGGCTTGAATACAACACTGAAATTTATTCATAAGAATCCGAGTGCGGCCCGCTCCGACCGAAAGAATTTTCCGCACTCATGAGAGGACCGGTCTCGAACGACTGTCGGATGCGAACCGACTAACTCCGCAAAAAGAAGAAGTGGCTAGATGCTACGCGCGGTTCGGTCAGTTCCTATTCCGCACTGTAGTCGGTGGTTCTGGCCGAGGCCAGGACGCGGCCAGGACGCGGCCAGGACGCGGCAGGACGTTGACGCTCTTTTGCCTTGCCGGCTTTGCCGGCCGGTCCGCGGCAGTCCCACGGGGCTCTGCTCGACGTACATGCCGTCGGCCCATGGCGGTCGGGGTGGGAGCGCGGTTCGGAACTCGGCGCGGCAGTCCAGGAAATGTTCGCGTGTCGTCCGCGAGGCGGCTCTTGAAGGCGGCAGCCGAAAAGTCCGCGCGCGGCCGCGGCGCGCAGGGTAACCGCGCCGTGCCGTACGCCAGTCCAGGACGCCAGTACGCCACGCCGCGAGCTTGGCAGCGTCCTTCACGTGCCGCAGCGCGCCGCATCGCACTGTGTAGAAAGTGATTCCACTCCTCTCCTCGCGCGCACAGTGTGCCAGCAGTGCGCCAGCAGTGCGCCGGCACGCCATACATGTCTAGCCGCGCACCGCCACGCCGCCGCGCCGCTAGTGTCAAGCGAGTTCCACGCGCGGGTCACTGGCCCACCACAAGACCCCCGCGAAGACTCGCACTCGCGAAGCGAAAGGTCAGCTTCGCACAGCCATACTCAATGCAATTTCAGCGAGAAAGGATTCGCTCGAAGCAGCGGAGGGCGTAACTCCATTACATGACGCGGCGCGAGTTGAAAACAAAGGCTGGGGCACACACCGCGGCAAAAAAAAGTGACCAAGAGCGGGCGAATTTTGAGATCCTAATAAGGAGAACGCAGCAAGGCGTATGCATCAATCACCTGGGCGGAGGGGGAGGGGGGAGTAGGAGGAGGCGGGGAGGCGCGACGTAGCGCTGCAAGGTGAGGTCATGTCTGACCCACTTATGGAAACCACTTGCGATTTCATTGGGGGCTTCGCGGGCTTCGCGGGCTTCGCGGGCTTCGACCTGCTGGCTGCAGTTTCCCTTCGCCTGGGTCAAGCCTGGAGGCGCGCGGGGAGGAGGGGGAGGAAGGGAGACGCAGCAAGTTCGGCTGCGAGGCTAGCAACAATCGCCCGCGCGAAGTGCAAGCGCCCGAGCACGGCGATGACGATGGTTCGGCACGCGACGGCAGGTGGATCACAGTGGATCATTGCCTCCTGCAGGACCGCGCACATTTTCGAGTGCTTTTCCTTTCAGACGGAAGCGCGCTTTATCTTCGGCCGGCATGGCAGCATTGGCCGCGCTTGGCGGCGCTTGCCCCACCGGGCTGCCCATCCTGGAGGAGGCAACCGCCAGGGCGACCGCGAGGGCGTGCTGCAGACAGAGAGTCGTTCTCGTCGCCCTGTCTCTCTCGCACCCAAACGGGACGCCGCACGAGTGCGAGAGAGACAGACGGACGATGACGACTCTCGGAATCAGTCTACAAAGTGTCGGACCTTCGGTGCAAGGTGCGCGTCATCCTCGGGGCCCCGCCGCCCCGGGCGCGAGGAGGGACCGCGGCACGAACGCGCGGCCTGCCTGGACAATGGCGACGCTTTTCACGGTACTGTACGCACTGCACGCGTACTGTCCACGCGTCGCCGTGGGCACACTGGGCACACAGCTCGCACGCACGTCCCGCTCCTGTCAGGCCGCCTGCGGTGCGACGTCGATGACCCTATCAGAGTGGAGCCGCGGCCCAGAGATTTGAACGCACGCGCAGAGCAGTGCCGTGCCGGCCCGCTCTTCCTCAGCGGAAATCGTCGCTGCAGTGTCGTTTTGGTTTGAATCCAGTTCTCATCGGAGACCCGACGGCGAGACAAAAGGAGAATAACTCTCGCCGCCATGGAGGTCGTGGTGGCGCCGCGGAGAGGCCGGCCACCTAATGGGCCTGGAGAGTGTCTCGGGGTTCAGGCGGCACGTGCAGTCCCGGGCGTGCACAGTGGGCCAGGAGACCGGCGGAGGCGGCCAAAACTCTAGAGGCGTTTTGAGCTCCAGAGGCGCTAACCAGGACTGGAACCGAACGTGTGACCCCACCAATGGATTGCTCGTCCGGAGAGCAATCCATTGGTGGGGTCAAGCGGTCGATTCGAGTCCCATTTAGCGACTCTGGAGCTCAAAACGCGTCTGGGATTTTGACCCCCTCCACCGGTCTTCTGACCCACTGTGGAGTGCCGGGCCGGCTAGCGGACATCCGGCAAACATTGAGAGAAGTGCTTACATGGTGCCGCTGGCCACGGTCATGTTGAGGCCCTTGAGCACCTTGATGGGCGCCTGCTTGCCGTTGAGCGTCCATCCCCCGCCGTACTCCTTGTAGGCGTTGCGGATGCTGATGGCGATGTCCGGCGCCACGGCGCTCGGCACCGTCTCCAGGGAGATCATGGTGGCGGCGTCACTGCGAGGCCTTGGACATCCTGGAGGTCAAGGACGCGCCACCCTGCAACAAGAAGGAGAGGGGGAGGTTGAGGCAGGCTAATGGCAGCGGGGCGGAGCGCGGTCTCGAACCCGGGGCCGTCGGCCCGTAAGTCGGCCGCGTTGCCCCTTACGCCACGGCGGCGCTGCTGTGCCGCTGGTAGGGCATGGTCACTGCCATTGCATCAGAGCGGGCCGCCTGCACAGTGCCTGCACAGTGCCTGCACTGCATCGCCATGCCATCGCCACTGCAGCGGTAATTGCCAGAGGCTGATTCCGAGCCGAGCTTTCGTCGCTCTGCCTCTTTCGCACCCATGCGGCGGCCCGCGGCGGTGCGAGAGAGGCAGAGCGACGGACTCGGACTCGGACTCCAGAGAATGGCGCGGCGAGGCGAGCCTTTTCCCTAGGCTGACGTGCTGGACCGCCTGCCTGGTGCCTATGAGGCCCTCGGCCACCGCGCCGCCCCACCTTGCGCCCCGCCCGGCGAAGGTCGTCCAGGCGCGGTCTACTCGCTCAAAACCGAGAAAAAAGAAAAGGCCGTGCCCGCGGCCACTGAATACATCTGGGCAAAGATCTTCTCAGTGCTTTGGTGGAAAGGTTTTGTTTTAAATTAGGCCTAAATGATGGAGCTTGCTTCGGGTAGGTTATTTCTGGCACTGACAGGTGCCTTCTCTAGCTGGAAAAAGAATTTTGTTCGTGTTTTCTTTACTTTTTACTTTTTTTGGGGGGACTTAAATACTCAATATTACAGGCGTGCTAGGCTGCTGGACTCGAGAGATCCAGCTTCTTAATACTTCTGGGATATTCTGGGGGAACTTGAAATTTAGCAGAGACTGTGGACACGGCTAAACGCAGTGTAACTAGCCCAGACCGAGGATTTACCCTGTCAACATGGGTCAAACACCCCTGCCATTTTTTTTCTTACCCCAATAAAACACAAGTAGGCATGGGAGGTCCGCTTCCATACGACCAAGCCGTCTGTCAGCACTCATCATCTTGAGTCTCTCCGCGTGTTTTTTCCAGGCGACTTTTTTTGACACCGCCTCTTGTGTCAGAAGCACCGGAAAATCCCCACACTACTTCCTCGGTGGCCGTGTGGCCATCCGCCGCCATCCGCATACCAACTAAAAACTTCTCCCGAGTGTCAGAGGCAAAGGTAGCTAATTATTGGCCGATTCTTTCCCTGGACCAGGGCGCGCTGACGTCATGGCGCGTCACGCGGCGTCACGGGGAGGACCGGTTTGGCAGCCCCAAACACATGCGTGCTCCAGAGAGCCATTGTCGCCCGGAGGGCCAGTCCTTTCCCATAACGGAAGCATTACATGCCTATCCATCTCCATCTTACAGAAGCCAACTGCGGCATTTGGTTCAATCACGACGGTGCGCTGATTCGCATGTTTTGCTCTTGGTTGTCGTCCTTTTGCTCTGCATGGGTCCGCAAGTCCGCGAGTTCGCACCGCACGTGTGCATCCGCCAATCCTTTTGGAGGCCATTCAGTCGCCCTGGCCGAGGCAGATCGCCCAGTCCGAACCGAACAAGCGAGCCGCTGTTATGTCCCGCGGAGTCGTTCGGGGCGGGGTGGTCGCCCATAAGCAGCGGCTCGCGGGCTGGGCCCGGCCCGGCTCGGCCCGGCTCGGCTCGGCTCGGCTCGGCCCGGCTCGGCTCGGCTCGGCTCGGCTCGGCTCGGCTCGGCTCGGCTCGGCTCGGCAGCATGCTGGACCAACCAGTACCGGTACGGTCGTCCCAGACAGAGTGGAGGCAAGGAGCCTGCTCTTACCTAACTCCACGTGAATGCTCGCGCGTCTGTGTGTGTGTGTCTGCGCGTGTGCGTGCGCGCGTGTGTGCGTAGTGTGTGTGTGTCTGTGTGTGCGCGCGTCGCCAATCGAAGGGGGGAGTTGGAAGGCGGTGTGAGTACTGCAGGTGCAGCAGCAGTGCAGTTCTGTGTGCCGTCGCGGCGTCTAGACTGGCGGGCAGCAGCACACACACACACGTGAAGCGCCTGAGAGGTAGGCCCACGGAGCACACACGTGTTTGCGGGTTGCCTGCCCGTCAGGCGCTCCGCGTGTGGCCGGAAGACCGACTCCGCACGGTGCATTCTTTGCGCTGTCTCTCTCGCACCCTTCCGGGACGCCCCAATGAGTGCGAGAGAGACCTAGCTGCGTGGTGCCCTTAACCGCGCCCGGCCCCAGCCTGGATCCGGCCCGGATCCGGCCCGGCTCCAGAGCGTGGATCGGAGGAAGGAAGCGATACTTGTCGGATGAGATGGACTCGCTGTTCCGTTGCGGACAGGGCCAGGCTAACAGGTTACGGCACTGCGGGGCGGAGTGTGGGGAGGGGGGACGGAAGAGGCGGGGAGGGGGAAGGGGCAGAGGGTCCAACGACGCCGGGCTCGGGGACCACTAGGGGATCCGGGGGCCACGAAAGAGTATTGTTGTTACGTCACGAGCCCGGCGAGGTGCAGGGCGCGGTGCCACGACGCCACGAGCACGGCGTCGACCCGCACGCCGTCGACCCGGCGGCCGCATCGGCGCGCCGGCGGGAACGTCCTCGGCCTGCTCGTGTCCCTGCAGGCCTAGCTCCTAATTGGCTGATTGGATCCACAGGATCGACCGGATCGGTCAGCGATAGGCCAGGCGGCCCCGGATATCCCCGCGGGACTGGCCGCCGGCCGTCCGGGTCGCCGCCACGCGCTCGCCTTCGACGCGACGCTCGTCGGCCTAATGTCACCAAAAGTCACGTGACCGCGCCGCCCGATTCCGTGTGTCTGTCTCTGTCGCTCTCGCGGAGCGGCCCGTCAGGGAGAGAGAGAGAAGGCCTGACCCTGCAGCAGCATGGCCCTTCTACCTGCCTGCCGGTGGGCGGCCCGCGCGGCGCGGCGCGGCGCTGGAAAAAGTTATCGCACTGCGATCTATGACGCTCGTGCCGCCTGTGCATGACCGCGGTGCCATGGCGTTGTGGCCGCCATTGAGCCGAGGACCGAAGGCAAGCCGACGGGACGGGGAGACAGCCCGCCTGCCCGTCCTAGAGCACGCCGGTGAATCGGCACGGCGACGGAGAAATGGCGACGGTGCAGGCGGCGCGCGGCGGCGCGCGGACACTGGCAGGGTGTTGGCCGGGCGCGGGGCTTCGTTATAATGAGCAGAGGGAGCGCGCCGTGAATACCAATCTAGCATAGGCCTCCCTGACCGACCAGTGACCAAGGTCACGGCGACCTCAGGATGGCCGGCGGGACGGTCGGGACGATCGGGACGAAAACAAAAATGGAGAGTGAGGAGGGTGAGTGGAATCCAATCCGTCTGGATTGGAGACGCAAGGCACGGCCGAGGGTTTGGCGCGCTCATGCAAATGGAGGGCGCAGCGCTCGTTCCCCCGGGAACGCCCTGGAACGCCCTGGAACGCCCTGGAACGCCCTGGAACCACAGAGGTTAAAAGAGGTGTCCCGGAATGAGTCGGCAGGCGACGAGGGCGGTCACTACCCCTGACAGGACGTCTTCTACTCTGTTGGGAGACTGACGGTGTAACTTCCGACAGTGCAGTCGACAAGGCGACGGCGACTCGTCTTCCGCCACTCCACCCTCTCGGGCTGTAGGGCCCTGGCAGGGCCTACCCCTACCTACCTGATGACTGCCGCTGCCCGCTGGAGCAGCGCTGTATCCTCGAGTGTATCCAATAGTGTCACTGAGTCACCCGCGGAGCGTTTTCGCGGTGCCGGCGCGTCGCGGCCAGGGCACGGCACGGCACGGCGCGGCGGGGCGGGGCGGTGCGACTGCGCCACACTACTCGCGACCGACGCGACGGACTGAGTGAGCGTGTGGCGCGTGGCACTGTCAAAGGACTCGGCCCACCTCGCCTCCACGCTCCCGATCTCTCGATGGACTGAGTGGCCCGCGGCCCGCGCTGCGCCCTGCCCCCCGTGGCCACCCCGCCCCCGCCCCCGCCCCGGGCCCCCGCGGCCCCCCTGGGCCCCCGCCGGCGCGCGCCGCCCCCCTCCCCCACGCCGCGCTGGAGGGAGGGGGTGCATTGGTGCAACGAACACACCACCGGCAAAAAAGGAGTGCTGGCGGGGCGCGGAGTGCCGCGCCGTCGAGGCGCCGTGGCGTGCACGCAGTGCACGCAGTGCACGCACGCCAGCAATCACTTTTATTTTCCGCGCCGTTTTTCGACATTTGTCTTTCGTTTTGTTTTTATTCGTGTCAAGGGCTCGTCGTCTCGTCGCGTAGTTAGCACCGTTTTACTTTGATTTGCGTCTTTGCACGCACGCACGCACGCGCGCTGCTAGCGCCTGCGCGGTAGGCACACGGCGGCAGCGAGGCGCTGCCGTGCTGCGGGGCGGCCTACCCCGCCTTCGTCGGGCGCTCCGGGCTGCGGTCGCCGTCCGGGTCCCGGAGTGTCCGTCCCTGGCTCCGTGCGGGCCGAGGCATTAAAACAAAAACAAACACTGGGCTGGCGTCATCAAGGTTGGGCGGCCGGAGCGACGCTTGTCTCGGAGGAGACGGAGTGGACGCCGCGGTGCGCTGCAGCGCTTTGAAGGATGATTCCTTTATGATATCGCACGCGCCGCCACGCCGCCACACTGTGGGTCACGGCTCCGCCTATCAGATGCACCGTGCAGCGCGCCTGCAGCACGCAGCTCACAGCACACGCTGGGGCCTGTGGCCTGGGGCCTGGGGCCGCCCGGCGCGGCCGTCGGCACGTCGGCACGTCAACTCTCCGCGACGAGGACGGCGAGGACGGCGAGGACGCCGCCGTGCCGCGCTAAGAGGAACACTCGGCCCAACTAGCCCCGACCCGGGCCGACCCGGGCCGACCCTCGCCTCGCCCCGACCCCAAGGCCGCCTTGTTCGCCGCGGAATTAACGAAAGCGAGGATCGGCCGGCGTGCGCGGGTAGTATTCGGTTTCCGCGCACGCCTCCTCGCCGTTCAGGTCGGACAGTGTAGGACACACCACGCCAGAATGCGTCTGCAGAGTCCATGACGCGGTTTGCCTCCAGCCTCGATATCGATTATCGCTCTTCGATTAGAGAATCGAAGAGAATCGAAGAGCGCCGCGCGCTCGGCTCCTCCATTCTCTGCCATTCCGCCGCGAGCGTCGTCCAGCGCCGCCTCTTTTTTTGTGCCCACTTTAAAATGGCGAACACGAAAACAAAAACGGCGACAAGGTTCAAATTGTAGACGCAGCCACCGCGGAGGCCGCGCACGGTAGACAGGCCTGACACTCCCCCCGCCAGAAATAATGCAAAACAAACAACAACAAGAAGAGTAAACTAGTCACCCACAAAGTCACCAGACGAGCGTATTGCTGGACTCCTCTAAACCAATTTGTCGGAGTCACCGCCGCGGGAGTGCACAGCAAATACCCTCCCGTCGCGGGCGATGAGGGGAGGGGAGGGGAGGGGAGGGGGGCGCCGCACTTCCTCGCGGAAGCGCCACCACTTGGCCCGAGGACCCTGGCGCCCCGCCCCGCCCCGCCCCGCCCCGCCCCGCCCCGCCGCCACCACGGCATGGCCTGTCCCCACGCGAGCATAGCCAGCACACAGTGCACTGCCAATAGTCCAGCCGTGTGAGAACGCCGCCCAACACACACACACATACACACGCGCACGCCGCCGGTCGGGACGAAATCCGCCATTTCCATCCGCTGTTTCTCACCGCGCCACGCGCTCAGCCGCCAGCGGGCTGAATCCGAACCTCGATCCGAACACCGGTCGCTCTGTCTCCCCAGCGGGTGGAAACTACTTTTCCGAAACGGGCGTGCAGACGTTTTGTTATCCGTTAACATCGGCCGAACCAAGCGAGCTAGGTAAAATCTGCTTACATTTTCGGAATCAGCACAAAATTTGACAGGGAATAGGGTACTTTCTAGATGGCGAAACCAAATTTATCATGGTTATTTTGAAGCCTAAAAACAAATGTGTTGCGAAATATGGCCCTGATCCCATGTCTCGCACTGTCGCGGTTTGCTCAAAATGACTGATTTGGAAACGTTAATGTGGGCGAACGGAGCGTCGTATCACAAATCCAAAAACAGATTTGGAATCCTCAAGACATTTACCACGGTATAGGCTATATGCGTTCTTTTGAATTTTCAGATTTCATCCTGATAACTGTCGGCGAGTTTCAGTCGATTACGTGTTTACAACAAACATTTGCGTGGCTCAAGTACCGACTATTATCGGGGATCGTTGTCGTAAGAAGGAGTGGCTACCTACTCCATCTATATAGCCTATACATTGGCAAATTTTTTGAGGATTCCAAATCTGGTCTCAGATTTGTGATACGACACCCCGTTCGTTCACATTAACGTTTTCAAGATGGAAATGTTACTCGACGAGACATGGGATTTTTGGCCTTTTTGAAACATTTTTGTTTTTAGGCTTCAAAATAACCATGATAAATTTGGTTTCGCCATCTAGAAAGTACCCTATTCCCTGTCAAATTTTGTGCTGATTCCGAAAATGTAAGCACATTTTACCTAGCTCGCTTGGTTCGGCCGATGTTAACGGATAACAAAACGTCTGCACGCCCGTTTCGGAAAAGTAGTTTCCACCCGCTGGTCTCCCTCGCACTCACGAAGCGCCCCGTGCTGGCGCGAGAGAGACAGCGACGAAAGCACTGTCCTCGTGTCCTTCTGCCGCCGGCCATGTTTTTTTTTTAGTGTCAAAAATTCCATGCGATCCGCGCGGTTCGCGCGGCGGCACGGCACTACCGTCCTTCACACCACGCGGTAGTTGATGAATGGGAGAAAAAGGCGGCGCGTATGCTAAGTGAGGCGGGTATGAAAATAAAAAGGAGAGAGAAGCGAGATGCGCAAGTTAGCGGGGATCCGCGTGGATTTGGTTTGCACTTCACTGTTGACACACCGCGCCTTCGATGGGGCCGATGTCCTCGGAGCAGGGAGCAGGGCCAATTAACGAACTGTTTTTCGCGGCCGATGCCCCGTCGGTGACGTAGGTGATCGCCGAGCCCCCAACGCCCCCAGCCCGGCCAGACGTCACTGCGGAGGGTGGAGGGTGGCACTGTGGGGGTAGCGTCCCTCGGTGGCACCGCGGACACATTCCGACGCCCGAAGATTGTCCAAACTGTATATGTCAGTGTGAGGAGGTTCTGCGACAGGTGTCAAATTTCCCACGCTCTGAAACAAAGTTTTGTGGCAGGTGTACCGACACTACAAGCGTGTGGATATGTTGCTATTTTGCTATTGAATGTATATGAATTCAGAATGAAACTAAAAAATATTGGTGAGGAACTGTGAAAATTTCATCAATAAAATGTTGACACGGTGATAACAAGTTACATTGATTAATTAAATCGGCAGGAATGATTCGTTCCAGTTTTGAGCAGTTGGTACGAGGTGCTGCGTGTGGTCGTGGCACTTTTTAGGTTATGTTCTGCACTTTCTCAACATATTTTTAGTTTCTAAATACCGATGTAAATTTTAATTGACGGCTATATGAGATGAGAATACTGGCCCAGTTGTCTCGATCACTTTGCCTTTCTTGGAAGTCCAAAGCGAGACACTTCGCCGTTCCTGCCCTTTCTCTCAGTGTCAGTGCTGCGTTCTCTCGAGGACCACGGCAAAGTTGGGGCACCACCAAGAATACCCGATCAATCAAACTACGTCCGTGGGAAATGATGACGGACCCCAAAATTGAAGAGGCCTTGGCGCCGCTGAGGGCTGCCGTCAAAGAACAGGTTCGTTTCATTTCTGAAAAGTGTCTCTTTTGTTGTTGAAGCAGCACCTTTGACGTTAGGGGGGTTCCATGCGCGCTTTGTCCTGGTTATGCCGGTCGCATTTTTCGGTTTATCCGGTTTTGCCTTTGTCTGTCAGTGAAGCGTTGAAGCACTGATTAACATTGCCCGAACTTCGGTGATTGAGTACGTCGTGAGGAGCCGTGTATTCCTGTTGTCATTTGACACCTTTCACTTCAGAAATGATGCAACCATTCATTGTCAGTGTTTCTCTGTGGCAAAATTCCTCTTCATTCAATCCATTCCAACAATTTATTGTTAACAGAATAATTGAGCACCAATTTCGTGCCTCAATGCGTCTACATGCCCAATTCTTATACATAATTTGCTTTGACCACTGTTGTTACGTATTTTATTTAGTTTCTAACACAATAGTTTTGTTGGACAGGGTGATTTGGTGAGGAGCCTGAAACAGTCTGGAGCCCCTGATCTAGATGTCAAGAAAGCAGTGGTGGAACTAAAAGCACGGAAGAAGATCCTTGAAGACAAAGAGCTTTCTCTTATCCCTAATGTCACCTTCGACAGGGCAAAAATGGAAGACCTTCTCAAGAGGAGGTTCTTTTTCGATCAGTCATTTGCCATCTATGGCGGTAAGTAAAGAATTCAACTTTAAAGCTGCAGAATTTACTCCTTTGGGAACTTTCAAGCCATCAACATTTTGTGTTCGGTCCTGCAGGTATTACTGGCCAGTTTGATTTTGGGCCTATGGGATGTGCCATGAAGGCCAACATGCTCAACACATGGCGAAGCTCTTTCGTGTTGGAGGAGCAGATGCTGGAAGTGGATTGCTCCATCTTGACCCCAGAACCAGTTCTCAAGTATGTTTCATAAAATTTTCTAAATATGAATTTTTCGAATAGTAATGGATTTTTTTCTATATAGATCTGCATTAGGTTTTTCTCAATAATGACAATTTTTTTTATCTGTTTTACAGGGCTTCTGGACACGTGGATAGATTTGCGGATTTGATGGTCAAAGATGTGAAGAATGGAAATTGCTTCAGACTTGATCATTTAATTAAAGCTCATTTAGAGAAATTGGCCTGTGAGAAGACTGCTACTCCTGAACTCAAAGCTGAATGCACTGACATTGTTGTAAAGCTTGATGGTATGACTAAAGATGAAATGGCTAACATTTTGAAGAAGTTCAATATCAAGGCACCTTTAACAAATAATGAACTTACTGAGCCTATTGAATTCAACTTGATGTTTGCCACTCAAATTGGACCATCTGGTTTGGTGAAAGGGTATGATTCATTCCTTTAAATTAGAGTTGGTACAATAATTCCATCAAAATATTTATTAGAGTTTCCTCATCACAGATTCTTGAGACCAGAGACTGCTCAGGGTATATTTGTGAATTTCAAGCGTCTTTTGGAATTCAACCAAGGCAAGCTGCCATTTGCTGCAGCGCAGATTGGCAATGCCTTCCGTAATGAGATCTCTCCCAGGTCCGGTCTGATCAGAGTTCGTGAATTCACCATGGCTGAAATCGAACACTTCTGTGACCCCAATGACAAGGCGCATCCCAAATTCGACTCTGTGCGTGACATTACCCTCATGCTGTATTCAGCCTGTAACCAGATGGATGGAAAATCTGCTGAGGCTGTCAAGATGGGTGATGCAGTAGATAAGGTCAGAGTTCTCTTTAAACTTTTATTTATATTTAATTGATTCATTTATGTACTGGTTTTGACGGTTCTGTTGCCTTATTTCAGGGCTTGGTTGCCAATCAAACTCTTGGATACTTCATGGCCAGAATTCACCAGTTCCTCATTCGAGTTGGAGTAGATCCCGCTAAGCTGCGCTTCAGACAACACATGAGCAATGAAATGGCGCATTATGCTTGTGACTGCTGGGATGCTGAATGCCTTACTTCATATGTAAATTGAGGAGACAGGCCAACTCACATCTTATTGTTTTTCTCTGCCTGTATTTCATTGCAAACTTTCTGTTTTTAGGGTTGGGTGGAATGTGTAGGCTGTGCAGACAGGTCAGCTTTTGATCTCACACAGCACACCAAGGCCACTGGTGTGCGTTTAGCTGCTGAAAAGAAGCTTCCTGAACCACGGACTATTGATGTAGTGGGTAAGTGGCTTTCTTCAAGTTTTTTTTTTTATCAAGGCATCATTTTTTATTGTGTGTTTTTGTGGTGCTCTCTCAGAGGCTCAGCCAAACAAAGGTGCACTTGGTAAAGAGTTCAAGAAAGAGGCAAAGCAAGTTATGGATGCCCTGGCAGCCCTGGATAAGGATGCAGTTGAAAGTCTTGCTAAGCAGCTTGCGGAAACAAGGTAATTGTTTCTGGATCCTTAACGGCACAATGACCTTTGTATCACTCTGTCCTTTAATGTCTTTGTGCTCTTTCAGCATTTGCACTGTCAATGTGGACGGTAAAGATGTCAAGCTTACCAAAGATCATGTAGATGTCAAGAAATATCAAAAGACTGTCCACGTAGAAGAAATTATTCCGAATGTGATTGAACCATCATTTGGCATTGGCCGTATTATGTATGCTATTTTTGAGCACAATTTCAAAACTCGTGAAGGTGATGAGCAGAGAACGGTAAGCAGAGTCTCATGTTATGATTGTTCACCAGAAGCCAATAGGGAAATTACTCACTAGAAAATTTTGCTTGCAGTTCTTCTCCCTCCCACCAGTTGTCGCTCCCTACAAGTGCTCCCTTTTACCTCTCTTAAACAACCCTGAGTTCTCTCCCATAATTAAGAAGCTATGTAAGTAGTGTGAAAATATTAAAATCCTTTTTTTTAAGCAATTATGTGGAAAAAAAACTTATGTTACATGATTTGTTACAGCTCAAGACTTAATATTGCTTGATGTGTCTCACAAAGTTGATGACTCAGCTGGTTCCATTGGTCGTCGGTATGCCCGAACTGACGAGATTGCAATCCCATTCGGCATCACTGTTGATTTTGACACATTGAAAGATTCTACCGCTACATTGCGAGAAAGGGATTCTTGCCAACAAGTCAGAATTCCGGTAAGTAGTTTTGTGTAATGCTTTTGTGTTGCCGCATGAAATTTTGAAGAAACTGATGTATGATATTGTATTTTGACAGCTTTCTGAACTTCCTGACATTGTTCGGGACCTTGCCATCGGCAGGAGACAATGGACTGAAGTTGAAGCAAAGTACCCAAAACAAGGTGAAGTTAAAGAATGATCACCCATACCACCTCTTTATTTATATCACATTGAACCTGTGTAAATTGGAGTTGATTACTATTACTTGGTAATGGATTGATAATAAACGTATTATTGGATCTGTAATTTATTATTGATTTTCTGATCTTTTGAAGTGGACAAAACAATTTTACTTGTCACAGTTCAAGATTAGTGCTTTCCTAATGTGAGTTTGTTACCCTGCACACTAGATGAAATTTTATATTGTGTAATATATCTCAAAGTTTTTCTTCTAGAAGTTTTTAGCTGTCTTTTTGCTATGGAAAAGGAGTGAATAAATGTATTTTAAAATCTTATCTGCAAATTTTATTTTGTGCACAAGTAAAACATCTTAACACTCAAGGAGAAAAAATATATACATTTCTCATAAAATTACAAATCAAAAGACATCACAAACAAATTTATTTAATCTTAATTTTCATTCAACATCTGACAACAATTTTTACATTGTGATTGTTGATGGCGAATGTTGAATAACAACATTTACATTCTCTCTTTGATATGCACAGCACAGTCCTTGTTGAACCTCCTAAAATAATATAATTAAAATTATAAATCAATGACTAGAAATATCAAATGTCTCCAATTTGGAGAAGAACCAGTCTTCCCAAATCAAAAATAGAATAGGATTATCTTTGGCTATGGTCTGATTTAGACATCGTAAATTCATTACGTCAGTCGCCCAAATACATCCTGATTTTGGACAGATTTTATTTTTAAATGATACATGACATATAAAAGTATGAAAATTGATGAAATGCACGAATCACACTTTACTCATATGGCACAATTCTCACAGCTCACATATATTCTAACACATACACTAGGAGAAAACTGCTAAAAGTTTTGTACCGAAGGCAAATGATGATTCTGAAAGAAAAAAAAAAACAGCACTTGCTCATGAAAGGTGATGAATATGAATGACAATGGCGTGTGTTCATAGACAGGCGGCCGTCGGTGGCGTCAATAAGTCTTCAAGAAATGATGGCTCGAGATGACTCATGAAGGCACCTGTTTGGGAAAACAGATATGTGATGGCAGTTAGACACATATCGGGGCTTGGGCTTTCGGCATCAGGGTACGGTCCTCACCTCTCTGGCGCCGTTGTGCATCGAGTAGGGGCTGCCCTCTTGGCCGCCCTGCCCTGCGTGGTGCTCGTCGTCCTGCACCTGGCCGTTGCCGGGGGTCGGCGGGTTTGTCGAGCCCTCCTCCTGCTCCGCTATGCGCAGCCCGATGGTGGCCCCGATCTTGGCGCTCGCCTGTCGGAACGAGTCCGACAGTTTCTCCTGCAGGGTCGAGAGAATGGTAAGGTGAGCTGGGACTGGGAGTCGAGCTGGCCGTCGCGACGCCAGGCGGATTGGGGCGGGCTTACCTGCACGACGTTGATGCACATGGAGGTGAGCGCCAGGCCGAACACCAAGTAGACGATGGACGCCATCATGTACATGGGGTGCTGCAACAGGGGCACAGTGGGGCTGCGTTAGGACCACTTCGAACCTCAGGACCAGACGGCAGCAAAGCGCAGTGAGGTGCAGACTGCAGACGCGGAGAACACTACGTGAGACGTAAATGGTGCGCGCTAAGCCGAGAACTCGGTGAATGGAAGACCGAGATCGGCGAGTGGAGTGCTTTCGTCAAGCGGAACTTTCTGTACTCACTTCACTGGACTTAGAAAGGCATGAAAATAGAAAAGGGGTAGTGACATTGACGGAAGGAAGAGATGGAAGAAGCAGGCGCGAATGCGCCTGCGGGGGACAACACCATCACGCTGGGGGCATCAACTGAATCTCGACAATCCCCCGCTCACCTTGGGCACGAAGTCGCCAAACCCGATCGTGGACATGGAGATGAAGACGAAGTAGAAGGACTCGAAGAAGCCCCAGCTCTCCCAGATGTAGTAGATGGACGCGCCCACGAACATGTAGAGCAGCAGGATGACGATGGCCACGGAGATGGGCAGGTTGAACTCGTCGTCCACCTCGAAGGCGCTCGGCGCCGGCGTGGCCGGGGGCTCGCTGGAGTCTGGCGCGTCTCTCCTGGAACAGCGCGAGCGTGTGAGGCTGGAGGCGGTGGGAGCGCCCGCGGAACGCGGGGTAGGCCACCCGCTCGGCAGGCGCGCGGACCCGGGCCGGAGCGGCCTACCTCGCAGGCGGCTGAGGGCGAGGGCTGTTCTCACGTGGGCACTGCAACTCTGCCTACCTGAAGGTGGGCTGGTCGTGGCGCAGCGGCGTCTCCGCGCCCTCGACGTCCTCGGGGGGCTCGCCCTGCGGGAACATGCTGGGCCGGCGGAAGGTGGCCAGGTCGTACACTATCTGGGCGCCCTTCATGATCTCCTGCAACGTCAAGGAGAGGGACGCACAGTTAGCCGAGTCCACTGCAAGCGAGCGAGGCGCGCGGCTCAAGCGGATCAAGCGTGCCGGTGGGCCGAGCGCGGCGGCCGACATTCTCATACTCACTGAGCAGATAAATCCTAAAGCTGACTGCGGAAAAGGAGGAAAGGCATAGAGAGCGACAGTGGCAACACACTGGAGACATCGGTCACGGCCTTGGCGGCCTTCGGCGGGCCACGGCCTCACGCCACTCACCTGCACGGGCTGCGTCCGGCGCACCTGCCTGCAGGAGCCCGTGTAGTACAGCCGGCGCACGAACGACCACACGAACTTGATGCCCCTCGTGAAGAGCTTGCCGAAGTCGGCCAGCAGGATGAGGAACATGGGGATGCCGATGATGGCGTAGATGATGGTGACGGCCCGGCCCGTGGTGGTGGACGGAGAGATGTGGCCGTACCCTGCGCAACAGACACACACGCCATTAGGCCGGCCGGCTATGAATCCCAGTGTCGTGACGGCCATTTGGCAGTGCCGCAGCGCTGCAGCGCCAATGATGCATTCGCATTAACGCTGGGTGGCGGAGCCGCGGAGCCTGGCCGGGCGGCATGGCGGCAGCCCGGCAAGGTGCACACCAAGTGGCCGTTTTGGCAAACGCCATCAACAGGTGCAGGGGTGGGTTGTGGGTGAAGACGGGGGGGGGGGGGAAGCCGGGGATGGGACGGACAGACAGCGGTGGGGCGCGGTGGGGCGGCCCCAGAGCCAACAACCTGTTACACTTGGCGCTAAAAATAAGAACGCGGCACGGTCGGTCCGTGCGCCTCTTTAAATCCCGGGCCATCCTCTCCTCCCCCAATCGCGCCGACACGCCGGCACGCGGCCTCACCGATGGTGGTGACGACCGTGAGGCAGTAGACGACGGCGTTGAGGAACGTCCACGACTTGATGCCGCTGTAGGACGTGACGCCCGCCTCGTGCGCGGCGTGCAGCTCCTCCTCGAACTCCCAGAGGCGGCGGCGCGCGCGCATCTTCCACTCGTCCTCGCGCAGGTTGTGGCTCGTGGTCCACAGCGTGTCGATGAAGTCGCGCTTGACGCGCTTCACGCCGCACTTGTAGAAGGACTCGAAGGAGCCCTCGATGAATCGGAACACGAGCCCGCCCAGGCCGCAGTACAGCAGCATGAGCAGCAGCGCGGTGCAGCAGCGGTTCGCCATGAGGCGCAGGCGGTGGCACTCGGCGGGGTGGCCGAGGCGGAAGGCGTGCCACTCGAGTCGCAGGTCGCGCGCCACCGCCAGCCAGTTCACCCTGACGGCCTTGGCGGCCTTGGCCGCGCTCGGCTTGTCCTGCTTGGCGGGCCCGGCCGCCTTCCGGCCGAACAGCCTGGCCAGCCAGGACGGCTTCTTCTCGGCGGGGGCCTTGACGGCGTCCGCGGCGTCGGGGACCTTGGTGTCGACGACCGCGGTCTTGCTGTCCTTGCTGTCCTTCCTCGGCCGCTCTTTCCGCAGGGAGGACTTGCGCACCACCTCGGCGCCCTCCTTGTCCTTCTGCTTGCCGTCGTCCTGCTTCTCGTCCTTCTTGTCCTTGTCCTTGTTGCTGCGCGACGAGCGCTCGGACGACTTCCTGCTCCAGCTGAACCAGCCCTCGCCGTTGGCCTCGGCGGCCTCGGGCTTGAGGCTGTCTTTGCGCTGCACCGCGGCGGCGTCCGGCTCCGGCTGCAGCTGGAGGTCCTCGTCCGGCACCAGTCCCCGCAGCACCTCGGCCGGGTCGATGCTCAGCACCTCCTTCCTGGTGGGCTCCGGCGCCTGGCTCCACTTCCTCCAGATGACGGACTTGTCGGCCTTGCTCGTCTTGCTGGTCGTCGAGGACGTCTCGGAGGCCGACTCGGCGGGGGAGTGCGCGGGGGCGGGCGCGGGGGGCGGTTCCTCGGGGGGCCCCCTGGATTTGCTGCGCGCGGCGCGGCGCCTCAACGTGGGCTTGGGCGTGGGGGGCAGCGGCTCGCCGTCCTGCACGGTGGAAAAGTTGGGCGCGGACGGGCGGCGTTCGGACAGCCTGTCCGACTTGTCCGCCTTCTCCGCCGTGGACTTGCGGCTGATGGTGGAGTCCCCCTTGCGGCTCTTCTCGGCGCGCGCGGGGGGCGGCCTGAGCACGCCGGCCGCCGCCGCCGTCAGCGAGTTTCCATTGTGCTTGGCGATGTTGCTCTTCTGGATGGCGAAGTACTTGTGCCAGTACTCGTCGTCGTCCTCGGAGGTGGACGTGGGCCGCTCGTCGCAGCCCTGCGACTTGCTCCTGGCGGCCGCGCCGGGCTGCTTGCTCCTCTCCAGGCTGCGCTTGGCCGAGGACTTGGCGCGCGGCCCTGCCGCCGGCCCCGGCGTGCGCCCGTCCTCAGAGTCCTCCGTCGTGGTGGTGGCCGCGTCCTCGTCCTGGCGGCCGTGGCCCTCGGAGCGAGGCGCCCGCGGGGGCTCCGGGGTGTGAAGCCGGCGCCGCACATGGCCCGTTGTGGGGCTTCGTCGCGGTCCTCGAGGCGCCGGGGCGTCGAGAAGGCCCGTGCCGGGCGTGCCGGCGCCGCCGTTGCTGCCGGGCTGGCTCGCCATCGCGGTGACACGCTAGCCGCCCTGCCCTGCCCACGCGGCGCGCTGGCGGCGTGCTGGCGTCCTGCCCTACTTCTGCTTCACCGTGGTCGCGCAGCTCGCGCAGCACCGGCCGCCTCGCTCAAAATACTGCATACCGGCGGAGAGGCCGCTACGCTGCTGTGCCACAGTGCGAGCACCCGCCGCGACGACACCGCGCCGAGGGCCTCGGTGGCGGTCTACGCGTCAGCGGCACCGCGCCACTTCACGCTGCATCGCGCCGCAAGCAGGCCAAGCAGGCCTGGACCGTCGTAAGGCTTCACTGCACCGCGCCCCGCAACCCCGGCAACATCCCGGCGCGTCCACGACTCTCACTGCACTGCGGACTGCGGCACGGGGGCGGCCCCCACGCCCCCACACCCCACGACGGCCGGCCCCACTCCCTCCCCGGCGAGGAGTACGTCCAACCGCAGAGCGAGCGCGGGGTAGCGCCGCCGCGACGCCACAAGTGGCCGCGAGAGGGCGCGAGGGCCGCGGGGCGCGCTGCGTGTGTGGGTAGTGGGGCGGGGCGGGGGCGCGACTCGCCTCATTATGAGCGCGAAATCTAATAAGCGTCGACTGAGTGCCGCCCCTCCGCCACCGCCCTCCACAAAGGCGTTGCCACCCGCCGCCGCTCGCCCCCTTCACACACTGCCACTCGTCTAAAAATTGTTCCGAAATCAATTAGAGTTCGTTTGTGTGCGTGACTGTCCGCCCCTCGGTCCACAGTGTAGGCTTCCCCGGCCGGACGGCCTGTCGCTGCGAATAAGTGACGCGCTGTCCCGGCAAATGGGGCGCGCCCCTTTGTCTATGAGCGTCGCGGTGTCGCGGTGTCGCGGTCTTCCCGCCCCGCCTGCCCTGCCAGCGCAGAGTTTGTTGGAACAATAAACGGGTGTCACTGTCACACCTCGTCCGGCCGCCCCCACCTTGCACCAAAAATGCTTTTGAAAAATCGTGTTTTGGGCCGACTTTAAGCAGCCACTGCGTCTGATCCGAGGCGGTATCTCGTCCTCCCTCAACGGGCAATTGGTCTTCGGACCTTCCTTTAGCATGCCTTTGTTACGGAGTGCGATTATCTGCCTTAGTTTGGGAGCAGTGTTGACGCAAAGTTGATCAAAACGGTCACAAATGTCTTTGAAAAATCGTGTTTGGGGCCGACTTTAAGCATCCACTGCGTCTGATCCGAGGCGGTATCTCGTCCTCCCTCAGCGGGCAATTGGTCTTCGGACCTTCCTTTAGCATGCCTTTGTTACGGAGTGCGATTATCTGCCTTAGTTTGGGAGCAGTGATGACGCAAAGTTGATCAAAACGGTCAAAAATGCCGTAAAAGTCGGTTTTGGTTTACTTTGAGACAATACTGCACCCAAACTAAGGCAGATAATCGTACTCCGTAACAAAGGCATGCTAAAGGAAGGTCCAAAGACCGATTGCCCGTTGAGGGAGGACGAGATACCGCCTCGGATCAGACGCAGTGGATGCTTAAAGTCGGCCCCAAACACGATTTTTCAAAGACATTTGTGACCGTTTTGATCAACTTTGCGTCAACACTGCTCCCAAACTAAGGCAGATAATCGCACTCCGTAACAAAGGCATGCTAAAGGAGGGGCCCCGTGGGATTGCGAAATTTTTCCTGGGGGTCGCGGACATATTTGACTTCAAATTTGGGGTCGCGTGGTGGAGTTCCGGGCGGAGGCCACTTCACTCTTAAATGAGAACTTTTTTATTCAGTGTAGCTCACACACTGACGCTCCGAATCTCGCGCTGCAGGACGTGTTCGGTGTCGCGAAGGAGTCATGGCTGTCTTGAGGGAAGCCCCGAGGTAATCTACGATCTCGGACCGCCGCTTGCAGTGGACGGGACGGGGCGGGGCCTGCGTGTTCTGGGGCAGGTCGCTCAGACGACGGCGGCGGCGGGGCGGGGCGGGGCGACAGGAATGCCTGCAGCCAGCATGACGCGACGCACGCCGCCCCAACAACGCGTTCGTCGCTCTGTCTCTCTCGCACCCCTACGGAACGCCCTGGGAGTGCGAGAGAGAGAGAGCGACGAAGCTGCTGCCGCTGCCACCGCGCCGCGTGACGGCGGCGGCGTGCCGGGTATTTTGGCGCGCCGGCCGCCACGGCGTCCGCGACGTCCACGACGACGACGGGGTTGATGACGTTCCCGGGCGTTCGATCGAAACGCGGCGTGGCGATCGGTGGACCCTACGCCAAGAAGAAACCCTCCTCGGCGCCAAGCGGGGGCAGGGCAGAGCGAAGACGAATGGGAACTTAAATGCAGTGCGTCCCCCCGTCCGCCAGACCGCCGTCGCCGTCCCGGGCGCGGTGGAGGCTCCCTCGGGTCGGCCGGGACGGGGCCCGGGGTGGCCAATCTGGTCCAGGATTAATGAGCCTCGCGACCGGCGTGGGGGCGCCTGGGCCCCGCCTGGGCCCCGCCTGGGCCGGCGAGCGGGGGACCCGATTCTTTCATTTCATATCGCCGCCACCACCACCGTGTCTTCCCTGCCGCCTCCTCCTTCTCCGCGAGTCTAATTTTAAAGCGTTTTCCCCGACTTTGAGTCACCGCGTCGCCGCGGGGATGATGGAGTGATGAATGGACTCGGACATGGCGACTGATTGAGCGAGCGGTGCTATTTCGTCGCTCCGTCTCTCTCTGTCGCGCGCATGGGGTTGCGAGGGAGACGGGGGAATCGAACTGACAGAGGCAAGCAGGCTGCAGGCACACTCGAGAAAGGTCCTCACCTATGGTGGTGTAGATGGTGCCGCAGTAGAACACGGCGTTCCACAGCGTCCACACCTTCTCCTTCTGGTTGTCCTCGCCGTTCTTGAAGTGCGCCCGCAGTTCCTGAACGAACTTCTCCAGCTCGTGGTCCGCCTCCGTCGTCCACGCGTCCTCGTTCTCCACCATGGCCGTGTTCCTGGCCATGGAGTACATGGTCTTGAGGTAGGCCTCCCGCTCGTCGTGGATCTTGACCCGGTACCGCTCCTGCCAGACACACGGCAAGGCAAAGTCAGTGGGACGTACAGTGCGTCACCCGCGTTTTCCGAAACAAGCAGCAAAACACAACAGGATAAAAATTTGAAGGGAATGCAAAAAAAAAAATCTCATTCAACGAACGTTAATGAAAGCAGATGATCCGTCGCGTTTCACAACTGCTGTGATAGCCGAGAGGTTAGAGACGTGGGATCGAGTTACCGCAGGCGGGCGTTCGAATACCAGCGTCACATACGTTTTTTCGACTTACTATCCTAAGGGTGGGGCCATGAGAGCGGAGCCGTGTGCAACAGGCCCACATGCCGGAGGTTCGACTCCTAACAAATATTTCCATTTAATTTTACTGCCTCACCCAGTGCGGTTGAAACACGTAAACGTGAGCCCACTCCGAGCATGGGACGTGGTGGTCCAGGGAGTAGAGGCGTCGGTTCTGAGTGCTAGGGTCGGCGGTTCGACTCCCCCAACTTCTTGCGAAATTTTGACCGGGTCGGTCGAGTTCTGTTGCGTCAAGAACCCACCTCACGCCGGTCCCCTCATCATGGGCCGTGGTGGCCGAGAGCGTAAAGTCGTCTGATCCCGATGGCGGGGTCCGGGGATCGAATCCCATCATTTCATTACATTTTTCGACCGCCTTCCTCCCAGTGCAACTCAAACCCGTCGTCCAACACGCTGCCAGACGTACAAGCGTGATAGCGTAGTGGTCAGAGTCACATTCACCTGGCCACTCCGCTGTGGGTGTCTAAAAAGCAATCCGCTTCGGCGGGTTGGCCTCGGCACTGGAGCGATGGAGTATTTGATCCATCAATCCAGACCATCCGGTGTGTGGTTGCGGGTGGTGCCTCCTTGACTCGTCGGGGAGGCGATGATAAGTCCTTTGAAGCTGGCCTAAAACGCTGTATGTTCGGTACGGGAGCGCCGGACAGTGGGGGTACCATGGGGTACACAACCAACCCTACGAAAACAAGAAGCTCCCACCAAACCTCTTCTCTGTCTGAGTCTCTCTCTGTCTCTCTGTCGTCTCACTCTACGTCCCGCCCCTCAAAGAGCTTCGTACTGGGTGCTCTCACCCAGCTGCCTGAGCTTTGGGGTCCTACTGGGTCCCCCGGCGAACGCTTAGAGTCGCTGACGGGATTAACCCCAGGTACCTGATAGCACCGGTTCCCATCCCGAACACCGAAGTAAAGCAGGAGGCCTCCCCATTAAGACTGGGGAGGGGGTGTAGAGTTCAAATTTTTTTCTTTTCCCTTTCAAATTTCTCAGTCAATACTCGTTCGGTTTCCTTGTACGGGGTAGTATGCGGGCTCATTCCAAAGATAGTAATTAAAATTGTGTATGAAACAAAATATATAGACCCGAGCGAGGTGGCCGGTGTTGGTACTTTGGTACTAGCCGTGCCGAGAGCTGGCCCGAGTGCCCCGGGCCGGGCCGAATCGGGAGGCATTGTTGCGCGATATTCCGCGCCGTGGCAGGCGGGGAGCGATTGTCAATGTTGCGCGCAGGCCGTGGCAGGCCGTCGCGAGCGAGGAGGGGGTGCCATTGTTTAGGCCCGGTGCCGCTGGCGCTGTACCGAGGAGGGATTGTCGAATTCCGCGCAGGATGCGCCTCATTGCCAGCCAGCCAGCCACACGCACCAGCCCGCCCCGGCAGCCAGCCCCTATTATATTGTTTAGGATACGCGCTTCGTTTCTGGACTCGAGAGTAAAAGCACGCTGACACCTTCATGTGTATAGTAGTTTTAAGTATGTTTCAAGTGTGAAGGTATCATCTGCTAAAAACAAGGTTTTGCGAGTTAAGTTCGTGATTTTCGGTGCTAACCGAAGAGAGAGCTTTGACCGAAGCTGGATTGGACGCGGCCGCACAAAGTCAGCCAGGCTGCTTCCATACATGTTTTTAAACTTTTGACTAACTTTGCGAGGCCAGTGCTCCCGAACTACCTGCGGCCAAAGCGTTCCCGAGGAGTAGGGTTCAAGCCACCTGGGGTGGTTGCCCTGCTGCTGCCCGCACATTGACATGGTGGCCAAAATAAAAGCGGGGATCGCGCCGGCTGCCAAGCACTCATAGCGATGTGTGACACGGTGACAACGCAAGGCCGCGGTGGCGGCGGCACTCGAAGCAGGTCCCCGCCGAGGTCCCCGCCGACCACAACAAAGGCGTGACGCGGATGCCTCGCCCTCAAGGCGTTCATTAACGGCCCGCTAGTCGGAAAATGAGGCATCGGCATGCCGTCAGCGCCTGCCGCCCACTTTGCCGGACCACTTCTTGGCCTGCGCACCGATTCCGAGAGCCCTTTTTCGTCGCTCTGTCTCTCTCGCGCGGACGAAAACGACTCTGGGAATCAGTCTGCAGGGTCGTGTTTCATGTTCCACGGCATTCGATACCGCGCCGGCCGGTCGCCGCAGACGCCCTCAAGCACCGTGCCAACGACATTCCCCGAAAGCGCGGACTCTCGCGGACCGGCGCGCTGTTACTTCTTCTTCTTTCTCTCGCGCGAACGCTATTTTTGCGTTTTGTAATAACGCCCGAAGTGTTTACCGGCGGAGGGATCGCCACCGTGGCGACCTTGTCCTTGCGGTGGCGTGGCTCTCAGCCTCTCGGCCCCTCGGGCGGGCCGACCCTTTGACCGCTCTCCTCCCCACTGCTAATGAGGAGGCGGGCAGCGCGTCGCGGCCAACGAGAAGAAGAGCGTCCTTTTCCACTCCTTGAGGGCTTCTTTTGTGTGTTCCGCGCGCGAGAACGCAACGCCGGTTCCTGCTTGGCTCTCGTGAATGGAGCCCCTCCTCCCGCCGTGCCGCCGGCTGGCTGGCTGGTCCCAGAAACTTCCGAGTGCTTGTGGCTGTTTCGAAAGGATGACGCATTTCGTGAAAACTGTGCTTTTGAAAATTAGTCAGTCAGCCTAATTCGACACACCAAATGCGTCCAGCCGGCCTGAGGCGTGCCCTGAAAGCTAAGCAGGGTGACGCACCGCGTCGTCGCAACTCCCAACTACCACCCCCACCCCAAAAAACACACACACTGTGCTCACCTCATTGGTGCCCTCGATGGCCACGAAGAGCAGCGCGCCCAGCAGGCTGTAGGCGAACACGACGAGGAAGAGGAAGATGTGCGTGAACCAGCGCCTGCTCCAGCTGGACACCTTGCCGTGCAGCCAGAAGGCCGTCTTCTCGCCGTGGCTCAGCCCGATCTTGGCCGTGTTCATGGTGAAGTCCTTGAAGCCTGCACGCAGACGACACACACACACTCGTTGAGGCCACGTCATCAACTCCAGGCGCATTGGATGGAAATTAGTAGTCTGGCTTTTCCTTGGTGGAGTTTGTGTCGTTCCGAACTAACAACCACCCCGAACGCCTCCGAATCGATGTGTGAAAGAACCTGACGGCCCCGTGAGTCCATGTTTTTTGTCATTTTGTTTTTCCTCCACCTAGTCTCGATAATAGTATACTCTTCGCCCCTTGACCTCGCTCCGAATTAAAGGCGCCGTGCGCTCCGGCTCGGCTCGGCTCGGCAACCTCTCATTATTAACAATGCATAGCGGGCGTAACAAGAAAGTTAACAAGGGTCGAGGCGCGAGATAAGAAAAGGTGCGCTAGAGAAAAACCGAGCCGCGGCGGATGCGAAGTGGAATCTTGGTCGGCATTGGCATTGCAACCCCCTTCCTCCCCCCTCCCTCCCCCACACGGGGCGCGCCCAGTGTACAGTGTACTTGGGATTACTCTTAGCCCCAAGGTGCTTCCCCCAAAGTTGATCATCACAAGTGAAGTGCCCAAGGCCGCTGTTCGTCCTGGCGGCCTGGCGGCCTCTCGGGACGTATAGCACGGTAACGCGGTACTTGTGCGCCGCCACCTGTGCGTGCGCACCGCCAGTGCAGGCGCCCGCCCTGCCGAGCGCCCTGCCGCCGTCTAGTTCCGTCGTGGCGTGTTGGCGGTGGCGCGCCGCCAGTGCCGTGGCACTGCCCGGCCGAGTCGCTCTGTCTCTCTCGCGCGCTTGCGGAGAGCCCCGCGAGTGCGACGGAGACAGCGCCCACCCCGCCGGCCGGCAGCCCCGCGAAAATGTGCCACGCGCACCTAGCCCGCGACGGGACGGCCGATTTCAAACAACTGCACTACTTTGTTTTTAGACAGCCTGCCGCGGGGTGTGGCGTGGCAGCGTGACAGGGTGACAGTGTGTGTGACAGGGTGACAGTGTGTGTGACAGTGTCCGCGAGCATCCCGTGGCGTGGGGCGGCGTGCCCGCGTCCCGCAAAGCGCTTAATGCGATCAGTTTAATTGGGGCTCTCAAGTGCAGTCGCAAGATTTTAAATGGCTTCATTAAGCAAATGTCGTTTAGCCCCGTCATTCCCCTCCCACTTCGGTGCCGCTTTCTTTGCCCAGCTGTTGGCCCGTCGCGTCGCGGCGCGCGTGCTGGCCGTGCCGGGCGGCGCGCTGCCTATCGATGCAGCCAGACAGACAGCCGTCCGATAAATGAATGCACTCGTCTCCATCAAGTATTGACGGCGGGTCGATGCAGCACTTCTAGGCCACGGCCGGATTGCGGCGCCCAGCCCAGGGAGCCCGGACTGGCTGGGCTTGCCGGACTCACCGGCGAACTGCTTGAACATGAACTCGGAGGCCTTGGTGGGGTACACGTTGAAGCGGCCCAGGGCGCCGGCCATGCCGATGGGCACCCCGGTGGGGCCGGCCATGAGGCCGGACGCCACGCCGGACGTGGGGGTCATGGGCATGTTGGGGTAGTAGGGCTGGCCGAGGTAGGCGTGCCCGTGGTGGCCGACGCCGTGGTGGGCCGGCCCCCAGGTCACGGTGCCCGCCGTGGTGGCCGTGCCCGCGGTGGGCGGCGCCATGGTGGGCCTGCTGGGGATCTTGAGGGCGGGCAGCTGCAGGCGCGGCCGGGAGGCCTTCCTCGGGGGCAGGTTGGGGGGCGGCTCGTCGCCCGGGGGCGTCTGGTTCTGGTGGCCGTAGTCCGTCGCCTTGAGGATCGAGGTGGGCTGCTGCGGCTCCATAGTTCACTCAAGTCACACTCAAGTCACTCTAGTCACTGAACTTGTCACTCCACGCGTCACTTCACGTGTCACTACACTTGTCGCGTCACATGTCGTCGCCCGGCGCGGTGTGGATCTCCGCGGGGTGGCCGCGCGCAGGTACGACTCGAGCTACACGACGGGGCCGCGCGCGGTGGCTGCTCTGGCTGCGCTTTGCTGCGCTCGCCGCTCGCCGCCAGGTTGCTGCACCCACTCGACGCGACAGCCCAGGGCGACCGCGGACCGCGCCTCGGAAGCACCGGGACTGACTTGACACGAAGCTGTGGGCCTCCGCTCCGCCGGCCTCCGCGCCAAGCCGCGCCGAGCCGCGCCGAGCCGCCTCGCCTCGACGGATGCTGGCAGTGTGAGCGTGTGTGTGTTTGTGGGGCTGTGTGAGTCCGCGCCTTGCCCTGCCCCCCTCCCCAGGCACGGCAGGGGCTGTCTGTCTTCGCCCGGCCCCCCTTAAGTACGTGCTGCATCGTCCCTCCGACGCGGGTGCATGTGTGCGCGTGCGTTTGCGTGCGTGTGTGTGTGTGTGGAGTCGGAGAAAGTGACTGCACTGCGAAAACCGGTCGTCCTCCGCGAAATCACGATCCCCCTTGCACCGCCTTGCACACGAGGAGCGGCGCCAGGCTGCAAACAAATCAAAGTGCCCGTGTCCTTCCCATTCCATCCCCCGCGGCGATGCACGGCACAGCTCTCCGTCTCACTCTCTCTCCCCCCCTCCCCCCCCCTCTCTCTCACGCACACAGACACACACGCTGTCTGCGTGTTCAGGACGGCGTCGCCCCGTGCGTGCACGAGCACCGCGGTTGTGACGTGGCGGTGGTGGTGGTGGCGGTGACTCAGAGCGGCGGCCGGCTTGGCGGCGGTCCCCTTCTCGCCGGCCTCTTCTCGCTTTCCGCCGTCGCCGTGCATCCATCTCCCCTCTCTCTTTCTCTTTCCCCGCTTCTCTCTTTCTCACCCCCCCCGCAAACGATGACGTCAGGCCGCGGCGTGACATCGCCAAACATCATTACGCTCATTTCGGTGACGCCGCCTTTTCCCCGCCGCCCCTCCTCCGATGCCCCGTCTTTTTTTAGCGCGCCGAGGGGGCAGGCGGGCGCGGAGGGGGCGGCGTGGTCAAAAAGCGGAGCGAAAAGCGAAACGGCCGTTGCCCAGCTGATTGACTGTCTCGCCACGCTCGCCACGCTCGTTGGGGCGTGTGTGTTGTGGAGCACGGCGGGCGGCGCGAGGCGTGCCGAGTAAGCGGCTCTGCCTCCCGCGGCTCACACCCTCTCACCGCCCGCGCCGCCCGTAAATGCGAAATCAGAAAACCCGCCTCGTCGCTCTGTCTTTCTCGCTCGCCTGCGGCACGCCCCATGAGTGCGACAGAGACCGAACAGGCGGGGCGCGAACACGGCAATCAGGGCCGCGGGGAGGCGGAATGGCCGTGGGAAAGGCGGCGATAGAAATCCGCAAACAAACAGTCGGAAATGAGGAGCATCGAGAAGGAAGTGGCCTGCTGCCCGGACGGGCTTTCGTTGGGGGTGGGGCGCGCCCAGCCCACCCGGAGCCGAGCCGAGCCCCTGCGAGCAAGCGAGCGGCTCTCTGCGGCCCGCCATGCGGCCGCGTTCGGCGGGCCTGCCTACCCTCCGGACTGCAGGCGCTGAGGGTTGTGCGAGCCGAACGCCGAGCAGCGCGGCGGCGGCCGAAGCCAGGCCTTTGTTCGGGATCGCGGAGGGGGCAGCCTTGGCCGGGCCGGGCCGGCCCGGGGTGACCATTTATTTTATTTTATCTTTCTCGGAAGTGACGGCGCTCGCGCCGCACATTTAGCAGGGCGGCCAACTGTTGTTCCGCTCACTCAATTGATGGTGGTGGGGGCGGGGGCGGGGACGGGGTTGCCTCGAGGAGGTGGCCATGTGAGGGGCCGTTGTGCCCTCGGCGAACCGCGGTGCGCGGGGTCGTCTGGGGTCGGCCGCTCCGCGCATTCTCGCCGCGCCAGGCCGCCAGGTGGGATCCGTCCTCGCCGGCCCCAACGACGGCAAGTTGGCAGCCCGTTTGGATTGTTTTCAGCGAGGACGCAAACGCGAAACGCGCGTCGCCATGACAACGACAGACTGCCCCCCCGGTTCCCTCGCTCTCTGCGGCGAGGGCGTCGTCGTGGTCGTCGCCGCCGAAGTGGGCCATGCGCCCGTAATGCAGCGGAACGACGGGTCCGTGACGCATCCTTCGTCTCGCCGCGACGCGCAGCCTGGCGGAGCCCGTGGACCGCCGCGTTCTGTCCTTCTCGCACTCGTGGGGCGTCCCTCATCGGTGCGAGAGAGACAGAACGACAGGGTCTCGGCGGCAGCGCCTTCGCCAAGCTGCACACCACGACATCGCGTGCGCGGTTTGCCTCTCCATGCCGGGGGCTCGTCTCCGTCGCGTCTGCCTTGCCTTCGCCGAAACGCGACGCCGCGAGCGGGGCTCGAACCCCAGCCCCTGGCGCCGGCCTGCGCGGCCCCGGCGATGATCGCGTCCACCGTGGCGAGATACGAGCGCCGCCATGAAGCCGTCGTTGTCGAGGGGCTGAGTCATGCATACGCCGCGCAGCTCGCGGAATGGCCCATGCAGCCCCGCGCCGCGCCGCGCCGCCACCGCCCGCTCCGATTCACGCGCCGTTATTTCGGGCGCGGCGACACTCCTTGGCCGCGGACACCGCGGGCACCCTCCGCCGCCAACCGCCTCAACGCCGCGGCGGCAGCGGCAAGCGCGCCGTGCACTGCTTGGAGTGGAGGGTAGTGGCGGCCGCCCCGCATGGCATGCAGCCCCCCGCCCCGCCCCCGGGCCGCACGGCCGCACGGCCCATGCAGCAATTACAACGCTGCTGTTATGGCCGGGGCGCTGGGCCACGCTGGGCCGGCCTTGTGGCCTTCGCGCTGGCGGTGGCGGTCGGATTGGGAAACGCGATAGGCGCACGCGAAGAAAGGGGAGAAGAAGGGGGGGAGGGGCAGGTGTCGGGGGACTGAACGCCGACAAATGGATCCCCGCGCAGGAAGGGCGCGTCCCAGGGAACGAGAGGGCCGTCAGTCGGCGCCTCGCCACGCCACGCGGAGTCAAGTAGGCCGGCACCGTCTGCACGCGTCCTGCTGCTGTGACTCTGACTCGGACGCATTGGTGGACGTGGCCGTAAATCAGGGCCCGTCTCACCGCCGAAGAGTCTCTTCGCCGCACTCGAGGGGCGTCCGGTAGGGGGGCGACGGAGTGGACAGAGACACAGCGCCGGACCAGCCACCGGCCTGCTGCACTTCGGCCGGTGGAATCCTCGGCCCGCCTCTGGGGCGCAAAGGGCGGGGCGGGGCGGGGCGGGGCGCGAGGCGGGAGCGGTCCGAAGACGCCGGGAAGGGCGGCAAGGCAGTGACGCTCGGAATGCACCGCGACGCGCCCCGCGGTCCGCGGCCAAAGCACCGCCTTGCAGGCTGATTCCGAGCAACGTTCTGTCTCCCTCGCACTGGCGGGGCGTCTCGCAGGGGTGCGAGAAAGACAGGGCCTTGATGGAGGTGACGCGGAACCGGCCCGCAGAATAAGGGCTGCGCCGAAGTGGCTCGGCCGCACGACCGCGAGACGTTTGGGATCCACGACACGACTCGGGGGCCACCCCGCCCCGCCCCGCCGGACGACGCGGACTTTACTCCGGGGCGCCATTTGGACGAACCCTTCCCTGATTGGAAGGCGGGCTGGAGGCTCCAGCCGCTCCAGCGCAGAGTAGTGGGAGATGGACAACTAAAGGGATTGACGGAAGGACAAGCAGACCACGGCCTGGCCAGTGCTGCCCTGCTGCCGGGGAGACAGACACACCACCGCGCTGCCCCGGTCCGGCCAGGCCAGGGCTGCATTATTGAGTTTGGTGAGCCATCCGGGTCCATTTGGGATCGGCCCGAGGCGTTCGAGGGATGCCCGCGCCTGCACCGGCGACACTCGAATCGATTCCGATCCGAACTGCCCAGCAGGCGGACTCCGTTCGTTGCTTTCGTCGCCGTCGCTCCGTCTCTCTCGAAGCCCTTCGGGGCGCCCCGTGAGTGCGAGAGAGACAAAACACCGAAGAATAACTGATTGGAATCAATCGCCCCGCCACCCCGCCCCGCGGCCCCGCCACCTTGCTTGCCGCGCTTGGCCGGGAAACAGACGCTACAACGGGCGCCTGCCTCGTCCTGCTTCGCCCTCCGCGGAAGTGGCAACAACTCTTGGCGGGGCTGCCCTACAGTGCCAGGGGCGGCCAGGGGATTGCCCATGGGAGTCCTGCTGCTGCTGCCCACGACATGCGGGGCGGCGGTGGACCGCGGCGGACCGCGGCGGTGGCCGACCGCCAAATTAGAAAGGACTCCAATTTCCCCCTCCCCTCATTATCAAGTTATGAGGCAGCAGACGTACGAATCACTTTCCAAAATTACGCGTGACAAATTGCAGCGCTCGGTGTGTACGCGCGAGGGCCTCGCGGGACCGACACTTTATTTCCAACTCGCAACTCGTCGGACTCCTCTTCTCGCCACAGTCAGCCGTAGAGTTTCGCCCTCTTTTCACCACACGAGGTTTCCCACATTTTCCTGTTCCCATTTTTAATTTTTTTTCGCGGTCCGTGAGGCACGAAGCGCCTCGGTTTGGCTGACTGCAGCAAAATACTGGAGGGAAGTCCGCGACGACCTGGACGAGCTGGACGAGCGTCAGGATAGGCAACCCCCCTGTCGCTGGGGTGGGGGTGGTGAACGCTGCAACTTGCAACGCAACTCACCGTCGTCGTCGGCACGGGGGCGAGTCCCGCGAGTCCGCAGCGGCTAGTCCACTTGGAAGCCAGAACTGCATGGAGGGGAGGGGAGTCCGAAAGTCGGTCCTGCGAAACTCGATTGGGGCCGTCAGCGCACCTCTCCGCGCACCGCACTCCGCGCTCCGTACCGCACTGGACAAGTCAGTGCCGAGGCCGAGGCCGCGCTGGAGGCACTGGGGCTGGAGGGGCTGCAGTGGCGGCAGTGGCGGTGGCGGTTCGACCGCACCCCCGACCTCCCCTACCTCCCCGACCCCATCGCGCAACGCGCCCAGCGCCCAGGAAGCCGTCACTTCCTCATCCGATATTCCCGGATATTCCGACCTCTTGCGTCGGCAAAATCTGTCCATGGCACGAATTTTGATGTGTGCTGAACGTGCATTTTCATCAGCTCAAGCGTCAATATACTCCACAAGAATTCGTACGTGGAAACATGACTACGCCAGAGAACTGCCAGGCGCGTGTTTTTGAATCTATCGTCTTTTCGCGCTGCCAACCTACTGGATGTGATGCGCGCGCTCCCTTTTGAATGAGCTCGTCTTGAATAGTTCACATACGGGAGACAACAAATAATCATTTCTAACTGAAGTAAAATAAGCAGTTTTCTTGAGAAAAAAGAATATTTACATCGAACAAAAAACAAGAGAATGTGGACTGTTTGCGTGGTGAGTTGGCTGCGCTCAAAAGGATTGGTAAACAGTCACGGGCTGCGTACGGAACGCCATGTTGCTGTCGGCTCGGCTCTGAAACTGGCTGGAATTTCCGTCCGTCCTTGGAGTCAGACAGAAACGCAGCACCGTGTGATGTTTGTTTCAAACGCCTCCGCTGCATCGTTGTCGTTGAGGTTGTGAATGCAAGAGAAAATCTCATTACTTCGTCGAGAAGCACTTGAATGAAGTGTGGAATTTGGCCTGAAAACAGGCTTGAAACAAAATGTTTTGAACGTGTGTGCTTTGTAAGGTTAGTAGGATTTTCTGGAGTGCTGTGCTATGTATTTGTTTCCCTGTGCTCTCGCCTTTTGAGTGTTGAATACGAGCGCGTCCGCCGTCCGTCCACGCCAAACCAGATGGTTTGATAGGACGAAAGGAATGTTTCACCTCCCACCCACAGTTACTTGTTTGAAAAATGCCGTGCGACAGAAAAACTTACCATTCACTTTTGCGTGACAGCCAAATTTCGTATTTACTCTCTGGATACTTCAATTAGCTTTTTAAAATTTTGTATTAGTTTTTTTTTTAAATGGCTTTTATGTTATGTCATTGCTAACTTTTGGTTACCTTTCCTGATAATTGTTTAATTTGTCACATTTTGCTTTGTGTTGCAGATGGAAAACAACCAACAGCCTCCATTTCTGATCAAGACTGAAGATGAAATGAATGGGCCAGGGGATGACGAGGCTGTCTCTGATGTCGCTGAAATGGATAACCCTCGATCTCCTCAGGGTGTTGACGAGTGTGGGATGTATGGCATAACACGATGCAGCCCCACTGTTGATGTGTCTTTGGAGAGGTTAGGCATCTGCCCTCGTCAAGACGCTGCTCATCCGAGCTTCACAACTCTGGAATCCCGAATGGAGTCTTACTCAACATGGCCATTGCAAATTAAACTGCGACCTGAAGAATTAAGTGATGCAGGCTTCTTCTACACAGGTGAGTTAACAAGGATGTATACAAATGAGTGTATTTATATTTTGAAGGAAAAAAGCACTGTTAACACAATGTTTTTTCACAAGGTGTTGGAGATCGGACTATTTGTTTCCAATGTAGCGGTGGCTTGAAGGACTGGGAAGAAAATGATGAGCCTTGGAAGGAACATGCTAGGTACTTTTCCAAGTGTACCTATCTGATTCAGAAGAAAGGCAGAGATTTTATTGATGAAGTCCTTGGCAAAAAACCATCTGATGTGAGTATAAAGCCGGGTGCAACTTACGTGATACTTGTGTTTTTCCAAATATTTGGAAAGTATTTGACTGCTGGCGCTCCTTAAAAGTCATATTCTTTGTTAATGTTACAGGTCCGCGCTCTATCTGAAGCTCCTCAGACTCACATGCCAGCGGCGACTACATCCAGGTTAATATACCTATTTTTTTTTGTGTTCAGCCCCCTTTAATTTTTTCACAACACTCCATTCTCATGTTACTATCATACTTTCCAGCTTCAACGGCAACTCATTAGGCCGCGAATGCGGTAGTGATGAAGGTAGCAGTGGCTACAGCAGTGGAGGTAGCTTTGGAGAAGAATCTGGTTCTCAAGAGATGCCTAGTGCTACTACATCCAGGTATCAACTTTTCATTTAGTGCATGATTTACTCATACATCTCTTTTATCTGTTTGTACTTATTTCTGTTTTGTTTTCTTTTTCCAGTTTTGGTGTCCGTCATTGCGGGAGTGATGTAGGCAGTAGTAGTGGTTACAGCAGCGGAGGCAGTTTTGGAATGGACTCCTCGGGTTCAGGTTCTCATGAGTCCAAGGTAAAAAAGAGTGACGCCAAGCAACTCGATGACCAGAGAGCTTGCAAGATATGTTATGCAGAAGAAGTGGGCGTTGTCTTTCTACCTTGTGGACATTTGGTTTCATGTGTGAATTGCGCACCTTCCCTCAAAACATGTGCTGTGTGTCGGAAACCATTTTCTGCTACTGTCAGAGCTTATTTGTCTTGAGAGGAATCAATGTGTGCATGGGTTTTTGTTCTGTGTGGTATATTTAGTATTATTTTTTTCTTTTCAATTATTTTCTTATACTAGTATTATGGTATTTTAATTGCATTAGACAAATTGCACATCTGCTACTTTTCTTTATAGACTTTGTTTGCTTTACTTCTAGATCTCATTGTCAATTTGTACAATTCTCTTTAATAATTTGTGTTGAGTATTCATTTTACATCTATCATGTTTCTACCATAGTAAGATCAAGATCTAACATTTTTGAAAGGAAAATGGAGTGCTTATGTCATCTTTCCTTTTTAATCAGGGTGAGGGTTACTTTATTATGAATCCTCAATTGGACCGCTTTTATTTTTATTTTCCCCCTATTCTTTTTCAATCAGGGTGAGGTTTATTTTAATTTAAATCCTCAATTAAACCCTTTTTCTTTCCATTTTCTCCCCTATCAACTTTTTTTTGTATCTCCTTGTTTGATGAATATTCATAAAATATTCTCAGAAGCCAAAGCCTTCACAACTTTGTGATATTATGTGACTGATTAAGTTGCAGATGTGATTGATATTTTTGAACATCTAAGTCATAGTTGTCTAGAGTATTTTTTGTTTCACAAAGTAAGTTGCAAATAAAATTGTGTAATGGGAATTGTTTTTCATTACCTCATTGTGTTAAATGTTTGTTTGGTTTGCAGCCTAAATGCTTCTATGTAAACTGTAACTTACTAATGTACTGATGGGATCCATCTTTGAATAAGTGTAAAGACGGGATTACCCTCATTTTCGCGCGGCAACATCTGACAATAACGTAACGATTTTCCGTAACGTAAAGTTTCCATCACGTGTGTTCTTACGGGAGCACCCACAGTCGTCTTATTTTATTTTCGATTTCTTATCTTACGGAGGAGGCTCTTACTTATTTTTCGTCCGTGTCCGAATATCCGAACAGCATGGAAAGAGAGGAGGATTTCCGTAAAATAAGGTGTCCTTACGTTATTTCGGGCGCGCTTGATTCGATTTCGACCATTGGGAGCAAGCAAGGGATAGATTTTGAGAAACAAACATTGGTCCGCGAAAAAGGGAAAGATAAAGAAGGGAAAGACGTCCTCCGCGTCGTCGTCTGAGTTTGTTTTTATTTTCGTGCTAGGTTATGTTGACCTGCCACCTACGTAAAATAGACTTTGAGGATAAAAGCTCTATTTCAAAAACCTTATTTTACGGAAAAATCTTACGGACGATCGTTACGCTATTTACAAGCGAAAACGAGGCTAATCCCGCCTTAAATAGCAGTCCTTTCATAGTTAAATGCTGACTTGCTTTTGTAATCAACTGTCTACTCTCATTTTAAGTCTTTCCGCACTGAACTATTGAAGTCTTCTTGACATTCCTTTTTCATATTTCATGAGAAATTTGAAATGGTGAATATTCTTGTGGTGATGTGTTTTGATTGCATGATATCAATTGTATTTAGTGCTGTTTTATTTCCATTGTCGAGGAATCTTGAGATTTCCTTTTCATTCATAGCTATTAGATCTGTATGAAATGTGAAAATATAAATGTTTTAACATTCTCACTGATTTTTTTTCATGCCCCTAACCTTCTGTTTCTGATAGGGAAGTTGATGCCCCACAAAGGACTAGAGAGTGATAAAGGATTTAAAATAAACATGATTTATTTCTTTAAAATGATCAATTCATAAACAGTGTATATAAAATAGAGCATAGTACAGGGGAATGATGCTGGTGCAGCAACACTGTACATCTCAAGAGATATAGTATCACATGATTAAACATCAGTTCATGAAAACCTCTTCCAATTGGCATCAAAATCTTCTTACTTCAACAAAGAACATTCATACAAGTAGGCACCAAGGAGTTTTGTCTAAAAGAAAAGAAAATAGTTAGTGCAGAAAACAAAATACCATTGGTGCTAAGCATTGAAAAAGGACAAAAACTTACTCCTTCAATGTAGTTGCGGACATTGAGTTTCTCATTCTGAGAGTGAGGACTGTCGTCACCCATACCGACAGGAAGCAGCAGGACATTTTTCCCAGAGATTTCCTTCAAACGAACAATAAGTAATTAAAATTAATTTCTAGCATAAGATTATTATATGGGTAATTGATTAAAATGTTACCTGGAGAGTGAGAGTAACAGGGATTGAACCACCTTCTCTTGTGAGATCAGGCTTTACTTTGTACACATGCTCAGTAGCTTTGATGGCTGCCTGGTAGTGAGGGTGGTCGGGATCACTGGTCCATGGCCTTCCACCATGAAGAGAGTAAGCCTGCATCAAAACCAAAGCATACCTGTCAGCTACAGCCAGCCCCTCCAAAAAAGAATTCACATCAGTGTGAAATTAGGAGACAATTGTTATTACACCTCACCTTGAACCTGTTTGGGCTGCCACGCTTCTTCCACTTCTCATTCAGGAACTTCACCACTAGTTTGTTGATTTTCTCAGGGTCCTGGTCAGGCACCAGACGAATGGAGAACTTGCCGATTACTTTCCTAGGAATGACTGTCTTTGCTCCAGGCTCGCTGAAGGCTCCTTGAATTCCATGAACAGAGAGTGATGGGTACCGCCAACGGCTCATCAAAAGCTTGGTCTGTAAAATTTAATATTGTTAATACACAAGTGGCTAGATGTGGCAAAAGGATCATCCAGCCATTAAACCAATTCACCTTGTCTCCCTTGTGTCTCAGTTCTGTGGCATTGATTTCTGCATGGTAAGCAGACACATCAAACTCAATGTCATTATAAATCTTTTCTTCATTTTTCATGAGAGGAGCAACATCATCCATGATGCCAGGAATCTGAATTTCTCCTTGTGCATTGGTCAGATCATTCAGCATGTAGATGAGGTCAGGCATTGCTTCAAACCTAGAGGCAAAATACTGCAGATTAAATACAAGTCAAATCCCACATGTAAGATGTAGGGAACAAAGAAGAAAGAAAATGTGCTTACACAGTGCCGCCATACACTCCACTGTGTAGATCTTTGCTGCCACACTCAACTTCAACAGCAAAGTAAGCTAATCCACGGAGACCGTAGGTAATGCAAGGTTTAGTAGTTCCCAGCCAGTAGTTGTCAGAGATGCACACATAGTCTACATCTTTGAAGAAATCTTTCTTAGCATTCAACAGGTCGTCCAATCCTTCACTTCCAGACTCCTCCATACCCTCAAAGACAAACTGAAAACCAAGACAAAAAGGATAAGTTAAAAATGAAATTAAAACAGAGTAATTTTAAGCAAACCAATATGCGTAAGAACATTCCTTACTTTAACATTAACGGGGAGACCAGACTGGGACTTTTGAAGTGCTTCAATGGCATGAATGAAAGCCAGAACTGGGCCCTTGTCATCACTTGAGCCACGGCCATAGAGCTTTTCATCTTTGCGAGTAAGGACAAATGGTTCCGTGTCCCAACCATCTTCAATGGCAGCTGGCTGAACATCTAGATGGCCATAGATAGCTACAGTTTTCTTCGATGCATCATTTCCAATGCTACCCATAATAACAGGAGGCAGTGGGATTTTCTTTCCATCAGGAAGTGTCTAGAATATAAAGAAAGAAACTACTAAAGATAATGATACTTTGAACACATAAGTAAAAGTATACAACTTAATCAAGAGTCCAACCTCCAGTCCAATATCACATAGCTCAAGAGATGCACCCAGTTTCTTCAACTTTTCAGCAGTCCACTTGACCATGCGAATAGTTTCATCACGTTTTTCAGGTGAGGCAGAGACGGACTGAATAGCAACAGCCTCTTCTAACACCTTAATATATGCCTCCTTGTGTTGGTCTACATAGCTGAAAAATAAAATTTTATTGAGTGTCACCTGTAACAAAGATGGCCTTGTGTTTGTAAAATGTGTTTTTACCTAAAGAGCTCCTTAAGTGGGGCTGGAAGAGCCATATTGACAGTTGGATCTGCAAATGAACAGGAAAACGTCAGCTTTTAGTTACAATACACTACCGAAACTAATCAGCTAATATCCCAGAGGGACGGTTCGAAGCATAAGGGAGCTGTGCAAACATAGATAGCCACTGGAGTAACTTTCCCTCATATCAAAGTTCAGGCCCAGCCAACTCTTATCTTTCATGTGTGCTTAAGTACTTGGTACAGATTGTGAGTTGCACCCAGGCAACCGTGACAAAAATCAAAGTAGTCGTATCCATAGGCACCTTCTTTCTGGCCTTAAAGCTTTAATCCATAGTGCCTTCATTGTCTCGTCTACCTTATCTTAGAAAAGGGACTTGTAGAAAGATAAAGGGCTTGGCAACACGAGCCATGGTACATGGAGTAACATCCAATCCATCCTAACAAGTTTGGGGAGTTCTATGAAAAAGATAACTGCAGACAGCGTTTCAAACTGAACACGAAAGGCTTAAACTGTCAGACACACCCCCTTGACTGGCCAAACGGCGCAGGTCGATGGAGCATCCGACGTGGCGGCAGTATATCCTTGACATACAATAAATTATTCGCAGAGTCGAACCGGGGGAAAATATCTGAATTCAGTTTACAGACCGTTGGAAAGTACAAAAGTGACAAAGTGATAGGCATGACGGCGTCGGAGCGTCAACGGGATCGTAACCCCTGCCAGCGATGGCTAGAGAGAAATGGTGCCACATTCGTCATTATTTAACCATCGTTGATATGCAATGTGCGGTTTCCAATAGCTTTTTTGAGAAGCCGGCCACCCGAAAACCACGGAGAAAGAACGAACCTTAGCAGAGTAGAAGTTCTGACACCGCACCGACCGAAGGCACAGCAGACTGGGACTCATTCAACATTCATTCACCCGGACCCGGCTCGGTTACTCCCATTCCGTTTTGAAGGCTCGTTCTTCTCTTTTCAAGCGTCATTCATCGCGTATTCTTCCATTCTCCATTCCCCGAAACAGCTGACAACAGTGCACAGTGGAGGGGGCGCGACTGAGGCTTCTTGTACAACATTCCAGAACAATACAGATCGCAAGCTTGGTGGTACTTTATTGACTCTGCAAAAAGATAATTATCAGAAAAGAAAATTATTTTAATTTTTAGAGCTAAATTGGGCGTGTAGCTAAACTGGTTTTTGTTTTCATCTACGTCTTCTCTTTTAAACTTTCGTCATTAAGTTGGCTACGAACGACCCTCACCAGCGCGTTCTTTGAAAGTTGTCTGCAACATGCTAAAACAATGTTGCTGACAGCTTGTAATTTTTCAAAATTTAGAAATACAGCCACATTACCAGCACACTGTTGCTTGAAATTATTAGAAAGACAGAGCAAAACTGTTTACTTTTTCCATTTATGCGCAAGATCAATTTCCCATTCAAGTTTTTTAAACGCACAACGCCCTAAGAAAGGTACCTTAACCTCAACCCTTTTGAGATTTGATGAGTTAATAAAATGTATTTGTGCTCTGAATTCATAAAACATTTTGTTGTTTCTTTTGCTTGATCTGTGCTCTCTTTTTCATGTTTCATGATGATAACAGTCACAGTACCACAAACAAGCTATCTCTATGTTTTAATTGGAAACCTTGTTCTAAATAAACATCAATTCATTTCAGATGTCTCTGGCAAGCTCCCAAGAGTTTATGAGTCAGCGGCAGTGGAATCAGAATGGTATGAGTGGTGGGAGAGGGAAGGCTTCTTTAAGCTCCAACCAAAGTCCTCTAGGAAGAACAAGGACTCGAAACCTTTTACGATGATTCTTCCACCTCCCAATGTTACTGGAACCCTTCATTTAGGACATGCCCTTACTGTCACAGTTCAAGATGTCATTGCCAGATGGTATGAACAAATCTACCACTCATTATATTCTGGTTGCCACTCTTTTATTTTTCCTATAATCTCATTATTTCCTTTTCAGGAGAAGGATGAGTGGCCAAGATGTTCTCTGGATACCAGGCACTGATCACGCTGGAATAGCCACCCAAATTGTTGTAGAAAAGCAGCTATGGGCTCAACAGAAAAAAACGCGACATGAACTTGGTCGAGAAAATTTTGTCAAGGAGATACAAAAGTGGCAGCAAGCGAAAGGTTCAAATATTCAAAGCCAACTTCGAATGATGGGTGCATCATTGGATTGGAGTCGAGAGTACTTTACTATGGATGAGGTAAAATCCAATTTAATAGAATGTGCAGCAACACCCCTTGATTGTCATTTTAATTTGTAAATCTCCTTGCAGAATCAGTCATATGCTGTTATTGAGGCTTTCATTCGACTTTTTGATGAAAATCTTATCTACCGTAGCAACGTTCCTGTCAGCTGGTCATGCTGGCTTCAGTCCACTATCTCGGATATTGAAATTGAAAGTCAAGAAATTGATGGCCCTACCAACTTGTTTGTGCCTGGCTATGAGAAGCCTGTTTCTTTTGGAACTTTGACCAGTATTACATACAAAGGATGTGAAAATGGTTAAGCTTGTTGCCAAATAGATTGTAACCCAGCAAACTTAATCAATCATCTGGGCACCACCAAAGTTAATTTCTTGTCTTTATTTCTGTTCTATCAGATACTGATATTGTTGTTTCAACCACAAGGCCTGAAACAATGTTGGGAGATGTGGCGATTGCAGTTCACCCTAATGATCCTCGGTACACCCATCTTCATGGTTCATTTTTCTGGCACCCTTACCGAAATGAAAAGATTCCTATAATCTGTGATGATTTTGTTGATGCTGCGTTTGGAACAGGTATAGTGGAAATATTTGTTGTAATTCATTTCATTAAATATTAATTTATACCTTCTTTAACTATTTCAGGTGCTGTAAAGATAACTCCAGCGCACGACAAAGCAGATTATGATGTTGCTAAAAGGCACAATTTGGAATTAATTTCAGTCATCAACGAACATGGTGCTATTCATGATAATTTTGAAATATTCAAGGTAAATAATTGTAATGGCAAACTTTATATTATATGGTAAAGATACAATTCCTCTTTGATAGACACCTTTCAATTTTTTATTGTTAGGGTATGAAGCGGTTTGTTGTCAGAGAAATGATATTGCAAGACTTAGCATCTCGAGGACTTTTACAAGGACAGTCATCCCATAAAATGATAATTCCGAAGTGCAGTCGATCTGGAGACATTGTTGAGCTAATACCGAAACCTCAATGGTAAGAATATGTTTCTTGGATTCAAAACTACCGTCCAATTATGGTCACAGAGACAAATAACATTGAGTCCTTGCAGGTTTCTGTCCACACAATTCATGGCCCATAAAGCTATCCAGGCTGTGAAAGAAAATAAATTAAAATTAATTCCTGAACAGGCTCAGCAGCAGTGGTTCCAATGGTTTGAAAACCATCAGTGAGCATTGTGTCACTTATTGCACTCTTAAGTTTTACCAATGTTGCAATCCTTACTCATTATACCTTATTCTGTTCTCTTGCAGAGATTGGTGTCTCTCTCGCCAACTGTGGTGGGGTCACAGGATACCTGCATATAAATGCTCCTTATCTGATGGGACTTCTTTTAAATGGGTGGCTGCCCAAAATGAGATGGATGCAAAAGTAAAGGCATCAGCTCATTTTTCATGTAAACCAGATGACTCAAAACTTGTCATTGAGCAAGATGAAGATGTGCTGGACACCTGGTTTTCCTCAAGTATTTTACCTTTCTCCTCATTAGGGTGGCCAAATCAGGTCAGAATATTGTTTGTTATTTTGCTTGACTACATACAGTGTATGATTTTTTTTCCATATATTTAAAAAATTTTGTATTGCAAAAAAAGTTATGGTTTGAAATATTTTTTTTTAGGGGACTGAATTAGATATGTTGTACCCTTTAAGTCTGATGGAGACAGGAAATGACATTTTATTGTTTTGGGTTGCCAGAATGGTAATCCTTGGAGAGCATCTAACACATCAGTTACCATTTAATGTAAGAATTCTTGACTATTGGGTAATAAGTTGGTTGATTTATTGTGATAGTCTACTGTTTCTTCCAATAGAATGTTCTCTTGCATGGAGTAATTCGAGATGCAGCTGGGAGGAAGATGTCTAAAAGCATTGGGAATGTGGTGGCACCAGAAGACATCCGGGAAGGAAGATCAATTGAGGTCTGTCACAATTTTCTTTTTAAAAAAATTAAAAAAATTGTGTCTGTGTATGTGTATAAGACTGACATTTTGGAGTGGCTCTAGGAACTTGTTCGAGGAGTGGTCTCAAGTCATGAATCAGGGGTAATCCCGCAGCATGAATTGAAAGCTGCTATCCGTAATCAGAAACAGATGTTCCCAAATGGCATTCCACAATGTGGAACGGATGCTTTGAGGATGTCTCTTTGTTCTCATCCCATTGAAAGTAAGAGGTTTTTAAATTTTTTGCTTACTTGTCATTCTTATTTTTTAAAAAAATTCTCATCATTCTAAATTTTTCTTTTGTAGGTCATTTTATAGATTTTGATATTAAAGAATGTGACATGTTCAGAAGATTCTGTAACAAAATTTGGCAAGCCTGTAGATATATTGAAGGAGTAATGGAATCAGAGAACCTCCCACCAGTCACACTTGATGAGAGGCATTTGCTCAGTGTCATGGATCGATGGATCCTAAGCAGGCTATCATCACTCATATCAGAATTAAACAAGAGTTTAAATAGTATGCAGCTTCATCAATGTGTTCATGGATTGCAGAACTTTGTTCATCATGAATTCTGTGATGTGTATCTGGTAAGGTTTTGAATGTATTCCTAATCCAAATGATGAACCCTACCTGTTTCGCCTTCTGAACTGTATGCATTGATACTTTTGCAGGAATCAACAAAATGCCTGTGGAGTGAAAACAACACTAAAGCCCAGAATACTGCACAACGTGTTCTTGCAATGTGCATTGAAAATTTTCTGATCTCTCTGTCTCCTTTCATGCCATTTCTTACTGAAGAGCTTTATCACAGAATACCCTATATTCAAAAGAAACTAAAGAGCATTTCTCTGTGCCCCTACCCCCAGCCAAAAGAAGTTAGTTCTATTTCGTGCGTACACTTTAAGGGTTCTCTGATTAAATGTCAAATAAAATATAATATTTTTTGAACAGTGGTGCAGCTGGCAGGATAAACGCCTAGAAGAAGATATCGAATTTGTTTTAAAAACCGTGACAACTATCAGAAAACTAAAGAACAACAATGGATTAAAAGCAATTGATAAAGTTTCAGGTTCGGATAAAAAAAAAAAAAATTGTGTGTGTTTGTTGAAGTTTATTGCTGTATGTTTTAAATAATATTCTTTTAATATTCATATGATTCCAGTTATACTTGCCTCAAATTCAATGGATGAAAAGAGCCTTTTCTCCTGTTATGAGAGCTTGTTAAATACATTATCAAGTTCTCATGTCACTTGTTCCACGACCAATGATATTTGCGAAGATTTCATGACAGAAGAAAGACTAAGTGATAGCTGCATAGTAAAATTAATTTTAGATGTACGTTATACCTATTGTTTTGTGTGATGTTTTCATTGAAACATACCTCACTGATGGTGCTTTTATGTTTTTATAGAATGAAAATCAGAGATTGTTATCTCTAAAACAGAAGAACTTACTCATCATGTCTGCCTTAAGAAAGCAAATTAAGTTAAAGGAGCAAATTGCATCAACAGAAAAAATTTTAGAGTCACCTAAGTTCTGGAAGAATGCACCAGAAGATGTTCGAGATACTCTCCCAAAAAAGGTTCAGTGACTCTTTGGCATTAAATTAGTTATTATTATTATGTGTGGTCTGTCATTGAAAGTTTCTTCATCTGTTTCAGCTTAACTTCATGAAAGAAGAACTGCAGAAATCTGAAGAATTTTTGAGCAAGGATCCAGAACTTTGTGACAGTTTAAAGCAACAAATTTTAAAAGAAAATGTTTCCAAAAAACGGAAAAATGTGTAAAAGTTTTACACTTTTGTTATTACAGTCATCATTTTTTCTAAACAAAAAAGTTTGTGTTCTCATCATCCTCTTCCCGACCAACGAATTCATGAAAGTGACTGAACAAAAATACCTGCATTTGTAGTATTGGTAGAATCCACTTGTGAAGCACCTATGAGCAGCATCACACTGCAGACGCAGTAGGAAAATTCCATGGTCAGGAAAACCCTGCAGAAAAAGATCAGATTGAAGTAAGTTATGACCTTTCACCAAAATGATCACTACTTTGTGTAACTTTTTTGGGTATGTAAAAGCACTTTGAGGAGTAGGTAACGGCCGGAACTCCACTCCACTGCACGGAGCGCATACGCCTACCCAGCGGAGGCCTTCCCCCTCGCCAGTCGTTCGGCCCGCCTCCGCCTGGCGCAGCGCGTAGCGGAGGTTGTTGTCCCGCATTTCGACTTCACCCCTTCCGCGCAACAATCGTCTGGGTTGTGCGAGGGGTGGCGAGGGGCTGCTCCATGAGCATGGACACAATTCTTTTTCGGCGTGGGCCTTGCTGCGACGAGCAGAGCGCCCCTGCTGTGCCACGTGACTACACGTGACGGACCGTCTGAGTGTGACGCCCAATTGACTAGATGCCCCTGGGCGGAGGGCCCCGTAGGCCCGGGCCACCCCGCCCCCGCCCCGCCGGGCTTATTCAGGGATATAGAGTGTAGAGGCAGGAGGAGATCAGCGCGTGGAGCGGAGCGGACCAAGCGTTTGATTGAACCTTGACCTCCTGTTTGCCTGTTTTCGGCCAGGGCTTTGCTTTCGGCTCCCCCTGCCCCCTGGCATCGCCCCCGGCCAGAGTCGAGTCCCCGGTCCCCGTCGTCCTGGGCGTCCTCGGCAGCTGTCAAGAGTCCCAAAACGTTTCGTCGCTGTCTCTCTCGCACCTCCACTGGGACCTCCCATCAGTGCGAGCGAGACAGAGCGACGACAGTGACGCGCGGAATCAGTCAGCTGGCCCGGCCGGGCTCCACCAGGCTTCACCGCGCACCGCGGGCTGGGGCTCCATCAAGAGGGCCCTCGACGAGAGGGACCAGAGGGACGGGGACGACACGCGCTGTTTTTACCAAGGGCCAAGGGCACGCGGGGCCCGCCGTGGCGAAGCAGCGCGGCAGGGCGCGGCCCGCCCTCCGTCCAGGACCCTGCAGCTTTGCAGTGCTTTGCAGTGCTTTGCAGCCCCACTCGCACCAGATCCACTCGTTACTCACTCGGTTCAGCCGGGCCTGGGGACGGACTCGCGACTGGCCGCAGGCTCCGAAAAGCCCACTCTTTTCTTCGCCGCTTCTATCGAAAACGAACTTAACGGTGCGGCTCGGGTGCAGCTATCGGTTCAGTTTGGTGAGCAGGGAGGGGAGGCGAGAGGGAGGGAAAGGAGGGGGGGGGGGAAATGGCGACAACGAGTCTCGCGTCGTCCCTGCAATTGAGCCGAGCCGATAGGCCGGGGCCGCCGGGGCTGGAACGAGGGAGGTGGGCGTGCAGCGCGCGCAACGTGCAGGCGAAGATACGCAGCGAATAGTTTCTGGCTTTTCTTTTCAGCCTGCGGCGGGTGGGCTTCGCGCCTCGCGGGCTTGGCCTAGGGTAACACGCGGCGACTGGGCGCAGGCAGGCGGCAGGGCAGGCCGACGGCAGGCGCACCGTGTCCCCGGACGAGGCGCGCGATGCCATCTACGGCCACGGGTGTGTGTACCTCGGCGCTTCAGGACGGGGACGACCAGGACGACCTCTCGACTCGTTGCGCAACCCGACCATCTGGCCGAGCCTGCAGTGCCGGCGCCACTCGCAGGGGTGTCCCGTCGCACGGGCTGCCTGCTTGCAAGGCGTTGCCGTGGGCTGGGGGCGTTGGGCGTTCGTCGGCCTCATCCACCTCCGCCTCCGCGTACAGTGGGACTGTAGATAGAATGCGACTAGTCGGGAGGCTCGTGCCCCACAAAGCCTCCACTGCGCGGGTAGCGATGTGCGAGTGTCGACGGTGGGCTGCCGTGTCGGTCTTGGACGACCTGGACGGGTGCTGTGGTCCCACCAATGTAGGATATGTGACCTCAGAGACCACAGAGAAAATTCCGTTTTGTTACATTTCCCGCGGGGCCTTACCTTTTCCACGGAATCCTTCCCCTCGGGGAAAAAACTATGCGTTTTGACGCGAGAGGACTTAATAAGCACGTTTAGTCGGAGAGATTAAAACGGCTGGGACCAGAAATTGTCGGTGCCATGGAAAAGGTGCATAGGGTCATGCCGACTGGGAAGTCGGAGGGGCAGTGTCTCGTCGTCTGCCTCGCTGTCTGCCTCACTCTCACTGTGTCAGTCAAGCCGTGCGTTGGGTTGCCTACCGGCGACCGCGCAGGCGGGCCAGTGGCCGGTGTCGTGTCGCCTCGCCCGCACCCCGCCTAGCTCCGCGCCTCTCCACCACGGCGACGCGGCGACGCACAAGCAGCTTCGTTAGGGCCATGAATCCGACCGCCACGCGGTGGCCAGACTGCTTCCGAACGGAGCCTCGTCGCTGTCTCTCTCGCACCCTTACGGAACGCCGCATGAGTGCGAGAGAGACAGCGGAATGATCCTTCGGCCTCGCACCGGCTCCGTGAAAAGTACGCGCGGGCGGGCTTCGCGCTTCACCCCCGGGCTCGGGCTGCTCGGGCTGCAACCCCCGGCCCCGCCCGGCTCCAAAGGCCAACGGTGTCGGATGGCTTTCTGCGCCGCCCTTGTATCACCGTATTTATGGCTCGCTTCATTCCCGCCCCGCTTTCAAGGTGAGCGGAGCGTGCATCGCCTGAGGGTGTGCTGGAGCCTGGACCCCGACCTGCCCGGACGGCGGACGCCCTACGCGCGCTCGCTGCGTCTAGGCGGGCGCGGCCGTGCTGCCGGTAGCGCCGTCGCCCTGGCGACGCCATGGTCATAATTTTGCATTTTTATTGGAGGCTGTAGATCGGGTGTCTGCTGGCGATAGTGTGGGGCGGGCTGTGTCCGCGGCGCTCGCATCCCTAAGTGCCACCCAAACCACCCCGCCGACGCCAGTCGCTGTAGTGTAGTGCGCGAGGCTGGCGCTGAGAGTACCTCGGGCACGGCGTAGCGGCGAGGGAGTTCGGCGAGGCGCCGGGGCGCTCGGTGCCGGATGGGTTGCCTACCTTCGGGCTGGCCGCGCCGCGCCGTGATCTCTGTGCAGCCGGCGGCCGGTCGCACCAGACTAGGCTAAGGTAGACGGGCTGGACTCGGCGCTGCTGCGCGCCGCCATCCGCGTCGCGATCAAAGTCCGCTCCGTTGTCACGGCGAAGGCCGGCACGCCGTGCCTCGGCCACCTCAACGCCTCCGGTTACGCCCGCGATACGACGCGGAGCCCTGGCGGAGCGCAGCGGCCGGCCGCGACACTGCCAAAAGCGTGTCCTCCTCTGCGTGTCCCGCGGTTGTACACTGTTCGCTCATTCCGAGCCGGCGTCGCCGTCTCTGCCTCTCTCGCACCCCTCCGGAGCGCCCCTTGAGTGCAAAGGGAGACACAGTGTGGCAAGCGCTGTCAATCCGCTGGTCGCAAGGCGCGGGAAAATGAATGCAGAGCGCTCGCGGCGCGTCGTCAGCCTTGCCGTCGGCCCGTCGCCGCGGAACTCCACTACACTACAATTCCTCCCTATGTTGCAACTTGGCGTGTCCTTCCGGGAAGGCCTCAGCACAATCGATGTCCGTCCGTGGGACTCGGACTACACACACAGGCACACACACACACACACACACGCATTCACGTGACACGGCCAGGCACGGCGAGGAAGGCAAGCGGACCAAACAAAAACAATGGGAAAACAAAAAAACGGAGAAGAAATAAGTTTTTTTTTTTGTGTTTCCGCGCACGACGGTTTGGATTCGCGACCATCCCGCGCGCCTCCGCCGCCTCGGTGACTCGCTGGTGACGCGCGACTTTCTCCAGCAAGTTCATGCCCTCCTCCTCCTCCTTCTCCAGGCGTTTCTCCCCAAAGCGCGCGATGTACCCCTGGCCTGGCGGCCTGGCCCCGCGGCAGGGGCGGGGCAGAGAGGGAGAGGGGGAGGCCCCCCCCCACGACCGCGGTCCGGTGTGGTAGGTCCGCACCTCAATCCTCCAAAGCCTGTACCGATTCTGCAGGGCCTCACTGGCGCACCGCGCACCGCGCCGCCGCGGTGTAGACACGACACATTTTCCGCTCCAGTGAAGCAGCACAACGACAGGCTTGGCTTTGCAGTAGTCTTTGCAGTAGTCGCTCAGAGGACACAGCCGAAACACATCCGCGCGAATTTTCGTTGTTGTTGTCGTTGTTGGAGAGGTAATTTTTTTAAGTGGAAAGGGGGGCGGAGTGTTGCGGTTGCTTCCCTCCCCCCCCCCTTTCCCCGTGGACCCGGAGGCGCGGAGTAATGAGGCGCACAATGACACTGCGATGCGGCGATGTGGCGCGGTGGCGTCCTGCTGGAGGCCCCAGGCCCCCTGAGGCCCCGGAGGCCAGGTTAGGCTAGCCACTCCTTCCCGCTCGGAGGCCGCGGGGCCCGAGTTTTCGGGGGTTGGTTCTCGGACCCTTGAGAACGAGATGCATCGCAGTCGTCTGACGGCCCTTCTGTTGGCTGTTAAGGACCCTGCAGCCCTGCATACTGATAAGGCCCTGAAAAGTGTCTCCTCTGAGATTCCACTCGTAGGCCGTGCGGTGCACATGGTGTTGTCCACCGTGGAGCCCTGCGGGTCCAAGGCGCGGTGCGGTGCGCTCGCGGAGTGGCCATTCGCAGCTGCCATCGTGCCGCGCCGAACCGCGCCGTGCCCGCCGTGGCGCGCCATGCTGCAGGGGCCTGAGCGCGCCGAGCGCGGCGCGGCCGGGCCGCAGGGAAGGCATGGGACTCGAGCTCGCTCACGCTCATTCCCGGTTGGAGCGACGCCTGGGCCGCACGCCGCACGCCGCTCCCGTCTTGCCGCGCCGTCCGCAGTCCCGTCGTTCCGCCGTTCCGACCGCACTGCTCGACGCCGCCGTCGCAGTCGCTCGCGCCGAAACACCGGACATACAAACCGCGGCCGCCACCACCCCCGCGGCAAGCCACCCTTCCACCACCAGCACGGCGTGCACTTGCAGGCCCCCGGCCCGGCACTCGGCGGCCCGTAGCGGCGCGCCCCGACCCTTGCCGTCCACACCGAGGCCCTGCCCGAGGCCCTGCCCGAGGCCCTGCCCTGCCCGGCGTCGACCGGCATCCTCGGCCGGGCGTCCCGACGCACCGTCCACGGGGCGCGCTTAAAATAGCGGCGGCCTGCTTCGCGCTTGGCGCTTCGCTCCGCCACCAGACGCAGCAGCGGCCACGGCCTACAGTGACAGTGCGTGGAGGCCTCCGTACTCCCGCCGCGGAGTGAGTGCAGTGCGAGTGCGAAGTGCGCGAGGTGCGCGCCCTGCCCAGAGGGACCCGCGGGCCGAGCACCGAGCCGGCATACGGTGCGCTGGAGCAACAAGTGGACCGCCATGCACGTCATCAACAAGGACGGGACGACGCCGCTGTCGCCGACCAGGGTGAGTCACCCCCACCTGTTCGCCGGGGCGCGACAGTGGGGTGGAGAGTGGAGGCCCTATCGGCCTTTCGGCTCGACGGGCTGGAACAAGGGAATTTGGGAACGCGCGATGGGAATGGCGCTTCAACTGGACTAGCCCTGTGCGGTCCGTTCCCTCCTCTGTCCCGAAGCGTTTCTCCTTGAGTTTGGCGCCCAAAAAAAACGGCGGCACATTATCCCCGCGTCAGATGGCTTGTGGGTTCTGGGTTCGACGCCTCGCCGCGCCGCCCGCTTGGAGGCCACGGCGCCACGGCACAGAGGACGAGCCCTGCCGAGCACGGCGCCGAGCCGAGCCAAGTCGCCCGAACGGCGCCGAGCCGAACTGCCGAACGCCGCAGCGCCGCGGCGCCTCGCCTGCCTGCCTGCCCAAGTCCTATCGTGGTCGAGGCAGGGCGCCGCCGCCCCGCCGAAACCGAAACCACACCGCCCTGCACCGCGGCGGATGCATTGGCAGCCTTGGCCGCGAGTGGGCGGGCCGTGGCGGTGGCGGTGCGGTAGGTCTGGGTATCAATCGGTGCACGGCGACGCCCTCCCCTCGGTCCCCTCCCCATCCAGGTGGACACAATGGGCCGGCGCGGGCAACGCCTTCCCCGCCGACAACTGCACTTGAAAAAGGAACCAACTGAAAGGCAGTGTGGCTGCCGCTGTGCACGAGTCGAAAAGGGAACGGCCAACAACCATCAACAAGGCCGGCATGATGCTGCGATGCTGGCCGGCGCCGCTGGGGGGCGTGTGGGCGTGGGCAGTGACCCATACTCATTCATTCCCCCTCCCCCCGCCACGTCTTTCCTCCCCCTCCCCGCGTCCTCGACCTAAAGGCCGCAGCCCCCAGCAGCCCCCCAGCAATGCCGCATCCCCCGAGACAACGCGCGGACGACTTGACCCGATAACCCCAATTTTTCCCTCCTCGCGTCGCGTCGCCTCGGCGCGTTTCGCGTTTCGCGTCGCGATAGGGAAGTCCGCACGCGAGTGAGCCTGCACCCCGACGGCCGAGGTCGCCTCTCTCTGGGTGCTGGGATCCAGCGGCGTGCGGAGTGCGGAGCGCCTTCTGCGGGCCGGGTAGGCCGCGCGCGGCACCACTTGCCCGCGCGGGCGGGCCTACTAGCCAGGGGCTCGGGGTCCAGCACCGCAGCTCCCGGCCCGGCAGCACCGCCCCGTCACACCCACCTCCCACCTCGCGACGCGTGCAGCGTGCAACAGGTGCAGGTGCCGTCCCCAGGCCCTGCTCCAGCTGTGACGTCCCGCCAGCATCCCGGACGGTTTCCGATCGACCGTGTTTCGCGCCCACGTTACCGCTCCCTTTCCATTGTCGTTTTGACATTGTGTACGAAATTTTGTCCTTCGTGAACTCCCAGATACCGAGTGGTTTTAGCCACGTGCTGTGGCGGCGCCCTCTGACGGCGTCCTCGGGCGCGTCGTCCGGGTCGCCGGAAGCCGGCCAGCTGGCTCGGCGGAATGGCGCTGCCGTCGACGGAAAGGTGGCGCGTTGTGCATCCAAGGCGGTGCCGCGGCCTGCGTCGCTGCGTCGCACTAGGTGTGCCTTGTGTGCCGCCGCTGCCGCTTGCTGTGCCGAGCTCAAAATTTCCGTTGCGCCAGTCACCGGAGCCGGGCGAGGCGAAGGCGGGCGTCGAACTGGCCTCGAGTGTCGGTGCTGCCCATGCACGCCGTGTGCCCGCATCAGCAGCTCACGTTGCAAAGCAGGTCTCCGCTAGCCCGTCTCGGAACCTCGGAACGAGCCGCCGCGCTGCCGCCGTCAGCATACCTATATTGAAGCCTATATTCGTCGTCGCCCCCCTCCTCTTGCCGTCTCCTTTCTTCTGTCTCTTCGCGTCTTTTCGCGTCCACCTCCCCGGGCTGCGGCGCGGCTGTCCCAGCCCCATTGCTGTGGAACTGGTGGCCTACCTCGGGGTTGACAGGCGCCAACAGGTAGGCCACCCGGCCGCCCCGAAAGAGAAAGCACGCTCCGTCAACGCGGTAGTTCTGCGATCGGTGGTATTGGCTCTTCCAGTGTCACCGTGCGTGAGCATCTTTTCTTTTCGCAGCGCTGTCTGCCCTGCAGACCGATTCGGGGAGTCGTTTTCTTCGCTCTGTCTCTCTCGCACTCACGGAGTGCCCCGTGCAGGTGCGAGAGAGACAGCGGGAATCAGTCTGGTGTCCGGCCTGCCGGTCTCGGCATGAATGGCTCCGTTGTGTGGCCGTGTCGCCGTGTCGCCGCGTCGCCTCTCGCTCTTCCCCGTCCGCGCGCGGAATGCGGAGCAGGCGAAGAGGGACGGAGCGCGACGGACGAAACGGCCAAACGGCCAAACGGCAGAGGAGGGAGAGTGTGGCGGGAAAGGGCGGCGCGAAAATGCGAGCGAAAAGGACAGCGATAGGGCCTTGGCGGGGCTGGCGGCTAAAGGGCCTGCCTCGCTGAGCCCCGCGGAGCCCCGCGATGACCGATAAACGGCCGCTGTTTGGCGTTGGCTTGCTTTGGCTTGCTTTGGCTTGCTTTGGCTTCCCTCGGCTGCCGGTGCCTTTGCACAGGCGTCTTGAGTCTCGGTCCACACGGCTGTAACAATGCCCCGCGCCGCCCCGCCCACGCGCACCCCCCGAACAGCTCACGTGGCCTCGCCCCCGCGGGGCGCTGCGTCAGGACCGGACGGATCTGGACAGCGGCGGTCCGGCCCGATATTCGGGTCGCCTGTGTCGGCTCATGTGTGCGATTTCGTCCCATTGGCGGCACAATGCCCTGTTAGAGCGGCCCTTGGTGGGCCGCCGCGCCGTGCAGCCGTCACAACAGGGCGTCGCGTCTCGCAGTGTGGCGGCCCGTTACGCGCATCGTGACGCCGTGGCCCGCCGTGGGTCGGCCAATGTCAAGTCAATCCCGGTCCAGCAGCCTGGGTCCAGCCCGGTCCAGCCGCCGCGAGGAGGATAATGATGAGGCGGGACGGAAATAGTCGGAAATAGGCTCGTCGCTGCTCGCTCCCATTCATTTGCGACGCCGGAGACGACCCACTCTGCGTGCTCTGCGTGGCCTGGCCGGGGCCTCGCGTGCAGCCGGGCCGGAGGCGGTGCAGTCGCAACGAGGGGCGGCGCGTGCGGGACGCAGGACGCACCGTGGCCGAGCGGTCAGCGACGCCGGTTCCATGTCCGTGGTGCAACCCGGCGGGCGCGGGTTCGAATCCCGGTCAAGTGGTCTCGTTTCGGACACACGCACGCAGCTGCAAAGGGCGGGGCCGTACTGGGGTTCAATTCCTTCCCATCTGCGTCTGCCCCCCCCCCGGGCGTGCAGGCTGCAGCCAGTAAAAGTGAACTAATAACAAGGTCCGGCCTTTCTGCTTTAATGAGTTCTTTGACGTGCCTTTGCGCGGCCTGCAGTGGCCTGCAGTCGGCTTGCAGTGGCTTGCGTGTCGCGCGCATTGTTTGGTGCAACACATGTCTGGATCTGGACCATCTGGACCCCGCGGCCATCAGCCACGCACTTGCCGGTTGCGAAACCAGTCTGAAAAAATCAAAACGCTTTAGTTCGGAAAAAGAGGAGTTTAATATCGCGGGTCACTGTTGATCATGAGGGTGGGTGAGACGCTCGAGGACTTTGAACCACGGCACTGTGAAATGAGGGAACCGGGACACGAGCGCCGCCCTAAGCGTTTCACACGGTTTCGCGATAAGTGACAGGTAGCGGCGCGAGTGTGCTGATCTGATTGAGACGGACGGACGGACGGACGGGGAGACAGTGTAGGGCGTCGCACACGGCACACTCGCGACATGCATTCTTTTCGGCGGGCAGGGTCGGCCGGCGAGTGCGGCGCCGGTTCACAGACGTGATTTTATCCTGCGTGTGTGTGTGTGCGTGTGTTCCCGCGTCAACATTGTTGTTTGCCGCCTAAGCGATGCGCAAACTGTTGTCGCGCGGGCAGCGTGCGGCACGGTGCGGCAGGCCGGCTCGGCCCAGCCCCTCTAGCTGTGTTTGCGTTCTGACCCGCTTGCGCTCCGCCCCGCGCCTCGCGTCGCTTTGCGTGTCGCGCCTCGCGGGCCGCGGCTTAAAAAGATCTGCGTCGCCGTTTTCGTTTTCGACGCGGAGCCCCGGACTGCCCGGACTGCTGGGACGTCGCCCCGGCGGCGCGGCGCAGCGACGCCATGCGACGCCATGCGACGCCATGCGACGCCATGCGACGCCGCGCGACGCGGACGGACCCGAGACGGACGAGTGTGATGACGCGCGTTCCGTGTTCCATGCTCCCTGTTCCATCCATGTTCCATGTCCCGCGTTCCGGATCGCCTTCCCCCAAAGAGCCTCATCATCATTCATCTATGCCCCCGCACGGGTTTCCGAGAAAATCAAGCCGGAAAGTGTTGCAGCCTCACGATTCTGAAATTACATGACAGACGACACGGAAGTCCCCGCACCAGCACCGGCAGCGAGCGGCGGCATGGCGGCCGAGGCGGCAGTGCGGGGACCTTGGTGACAGTGTGTCGGTCCCAGGCAAAGACTCTGGAAGCGAGATTAACGATTAATGAGGATGATGGCGGAGCGTGGAGCGTGGTGGAGGGCCGGTTAGTGGCGCAGAATGGGTTTCGAGCCGTGGCAGACGGCAAGACGGCGCGCTCCACACGCAGGGCCCACACTCGCAAATTCGTCATCGCGTTGGCACGCTGGGCGTGCTCCGAGTCCTTCGGCGCTGGGGGCGCTGGCTGGGGGCCTCGGGCCATTTGCAGATGCAAAATCGTCGTCCTTCGCCACCGTTCGTGCCTGTTGCGCGGCCGGGGGGGGGGGGGGGCGTTTCCCTTTTCCTGCCGAGAGCCCCCGCCCCGCACGGTTTTGCTGTTGATGGACTGTTAAACCGCGCCGACAACGCGGTCGTGTTGTGGCTTTCGGGTTCTCTTTCTCTGTGCGTGCAACGCCCGCCCCGCCCCGCCTGCCCCGCCCTCGTCCGACGGCGTACTTGTTTGGTTGCGTCACTGGCAAGATGCCGGGCCCTG